TTAAATTATTTTTTTGATATACAAACCATTCAATATACATATACAGGTTTAAATAGAATTACACATTAAATAGATATATAAATTATTGTATATAAACAACAAATCAACATAAAGATAATAAAAACTATAATAAACTATGGCACTTAATAAACAAGATTTAGATATAGCTTCATATGTAATAGGGGTCCTTGTAATGATATTTGGTGTAGTCATACCCCTATCTTTTATGATATATAAAAACAAAAAGGTATTTTCAGGAATAAAGTCATCGAAACAATAGAAATGTAAAATCAAACCTATCATTTTTAGCAACTACGCAGCCACAAATAATTATAAATTATAATTTTAATATGATCGTAACGACTCTTATTTTTTCAAATGACACAATGTATATATAATCAATTATCAAAAATAAATAAAAACAAAAACAAATAAAATAAAATAAAATAAATAAATTAAAATTTTAAACAAGAAATTAAAAAAAAATCATATTCAACATAGATGTATTATTTAATTCATTAATAACATCAAATACAAATTAGGAAATGGTTCAAACACAACCTTTTTTTAAAAAATTGTCAACATTTTGATAGGTTTTTTCAAGATTAGAATAAAATTTCATATTTAATTTAATTATTTTAAATTATTTTTTTAATAATTTTTTTTTTTTTATTTTTAAAGTTTTTTAAAGCGATTTCTATTTTCTTCAATTAGATCGCAGATATTAATAAAAATTCCTCACCAATTTTTAAATTTAAAATAAAATAATTAAAACAAAAGAAAACTGGTGTGTAATATGTTATTGTAGTTTTGTTTTGTTTTTTCCGTTATTATTTATATTTACTTTTTGGAAATAAATTATTTATTGGACTAATTTAGAAAAAAAAATCTCTTTTTATTTTATGCCAAACATAATAATAATAAAGATATATGTATTTATAAAATATAAAACTTTTTAAATAATAAAGTATAAAACAATATGGTTTCAGGTTGTGACATGTTTGCTTTTTCCAAATATAGTTTAAAATTTCCCGAAGTTTTACTATACCAACCACAACAACAATTAGAAGAACAATGTAATAACATTAACAATAGGTTGGTTATTCCAGAGTCCAACTATTCATTGGAATGCCTCAAGGATTTTATATTATTTATCAACTACAAAGGTGAAGGTCCTTCAACCGGTTTTTGGGATTTTGATTTCAATATCTATTTGGAATCTTACAAAGATCTATTTCCGATATAACATATGCTCAAAACCACTATTTTGAAATACTTCCAATTTATCATAATATTTTAAAAGGAAGGTTGTATACATTTCAGTGGTTCTCCGAAATAATATCAAAACTGCCATATATAGATAAAAATTAAACAAAATTAAATAAAATTTTTTTTTAAATCAATTATTGATTTGATCATAAATATAAATATAAGTTTTTTACATTTGTTTTGGTCTTTTTTATTTTAATTTTATTTTTTGATTTAGTTCAATGCAATCCATTTTAATTTTTTTTTTTTAGAATTACTATTTCCTTTTTTAAAAAAAATAATTTTAAAAAATAAATATAAAAAAAAAATTAAAAAATAAAAATAATTTTAAAAATTTTTTTTTTTTTTTTTTTATTTATTTTTTAATTTTTTTATTATTTTTTGTATATTTTTCATTTTTTATTTTTTTTTATTAATAGTAAATAAATTATATTTTTAGATTTTTTATGGTAATGGAGATATACTTTTAATCTATACCATTAATATTTATAATTTATAGCTTTTAAAAAAAAAAAAAAAAATGAATAACGGTTACCATATTACCAATAATTATAATAGCGAAAATAGTAATGTAGCAACAGCAACCGATAATACACTCAAAGATAATAATTATGAAAACAACAATATCAGTACCAATAATAACTATAATAACAATAGTAACAACAACAACAATAGTGGCAATATAAATAATATAAATCATGATGAATTCGAGTTAGAGGGTATTAAAACAGTAAATAACTATGATGTATTTTCATCAGAGGATGAAAGTTTCCGCCATAGTGGGCCAGCGTTAGGAAAGAAAAGAAAATTCACGGACCCTGACGAACTAGACTCTGTAAATAAAAATCCAAATTCAACATTAAATGGTCACAGTGAAGATTTAAGCAAATCAAAATATTTACAAACAATAAGAGAATCATTAGTCAAACCAAAATTTACAAATCCCGAGATAGATAAGAGTTTAATCCGGTATCCTATAAAGTCCCGTGGTGGTAATTGGAAGAACATCGAAGAGGATAATAGAAATAAATCAGATCCACAAAAAGTTATAAATAGATTACGGGTCAATGGTTTTTTATATGATCACGATACAAATGATTCAATTTCATTACAACTAAGTGATCCAAGAGATAAATACGAAATTGATAGAATGAATCAATTAAAACAATCTTCACAAGTCGAATTAATAATTCCTTCATTTTTTGTAAATATCATTTAAATTTTATATTATCATGTTTAACTTCATACTAACTAATTTTTATTTACATTTCAGAAAACAGCTCATATTATAAATACTAAAAAAGGAACTGAAAGATTAATTAAAGATATGGGTATCTCAGAATATGGAGGATATAACATAGAGGGTGAAACAGGTGATTGGATGAATCATCTAAAACAACAAATACATCAAATAGAACAACCTCCGCCACCACCACCACCACCATCTCCTCCTCCACCAACCCAATTTAATTATATTCCACATTCACCAACTACTCATTTACAACAACCTTACTATGGATATCCACCACAACAACCACCACAATCACAACAACCTGTTTATTCACATCACTTATATTATCAACAACAACAATTACAACAACTACAACAACAACATCAACAACAACATCAACAACAACAGCAACAACATCAGCAACAACATCAACTACAACAACCACCACCACCACCAATACCACAGCAACAACACTACCAACCACATAACGAATATTATAACCCAAGACACCCAACTGAACCATTAACGCCAAAACAAGATTCATATCCACATTTTTCATTTTCCAAAAGTAATTATTTTTTATAAAAAACTTTTTTTTTTATAAAAAAAAATTCAGATTTATTAATTTTTTAATTTCATTTTTACTTTAGTTTCAAATAATGAATATGGTAATAATTTAACTCCAAATAGATCATACAGGGATAGAGAATGGGATAGAGATAGGGAGTGGGATAGATCATCATATGGTAGAGACCATTTTCATTCATCACCACATACTATAGCGGCAAACTCCGTTCCACCAACACCCACAAATAATAGTTTACAATCGTCCACCAACTCTATAATGGCAATGGAGATTGGAACAGCAACACCACCAATAAATACATCAACACCAACAATAGCACCAACTCTAAACCCTAGTACAACTCCATCATTAATAAGACCAAGTGGATTATCAAGAGGTGAACCTGTATTAAATAGTAATATAAATAATAATAGCATTGTAAATTCAAAAGAAACTGAAAAAACTCCTTCTATACCAAAAAAGAAAAGCAAATTCAGTACACCAAAACCGTCACCCTATTCTATTCAAATACCAATGTTACCTGATGAAAAATTATTAAAGGAGGCGACAACAACAGCAACAGGTTTTAATAGTACTAGTATTATATTGGGTAAAGAGAAAAAGAAATATTCCGACAGGTTAATGTCACATTTTAAAATCTTTGATCCAGTTAATGTATATTTAGATGAAAGTTTTTGGTATATTGATTTTAGATCCGCTGATTCTAGAGACAGAGCAATTAGTGTATTAAATGGGACTTATATAAATGATTGGAAATTAAATGTAGATATAAAGAAAACGAAAGCAATCAACATAGAACTATTAAAAGAACAACAAAAAGAAGAGGAAGATCTCGAAAAAGGAATTAAACCAAAAATAAAAACATTCAATATCCAAGAGAATGAACATATCTTAAAAGAAATTTGTAAAATTTTAGTCAGCACAGAACTATTAACAACCTCATCCAAAGATATTGCAAAAACTTTTGTAGAGTCTGAAATTTTTAAACAAATTAAAGAAATTGATTCTCAAAGACCAGAACCAACTCCAACAATTCCTTCAGCTAAAGAAAAGAAATCATCCTCATCAAATAGAGAAAAGAAACCACCACCATCTTCAACAATTACAACCTCTACAGCAGGCTCTAAACTTGATATTGCCAATATACCATCATTTAGAAAACCAGAAAAGAAAACAAAGAACCATTTCTATAGTGACGAAAGTGAATCAAGTGATGAGGAATCTAAATATAGCTTATCATCTGCATCGCCATCCCCAAGATCACCAGTCAAAGAAAAGAAACTTACCTCGCATCAAACAACAGCCAGAAAAGCTTTATTATACTCTGATGATGAGGAAGATGAACTTCATCAAGAAGACCAAGAATTAGAAAATATTGATGTTGAAAATGTTACAGCGGGTCAAAGAAACAACAAATATTTATCAGATTCTGAAGATCAATTTTCATCACACAGCGAGGATAACATTAATGGAACTACTATAAACAACTATGAATCTATGAGTTTATCAGAGGATGATTATAGCTCAGACGATGAACCTGTAAATAAAAAAAGAGGAGGCAAAAAAGATTCAAAATCAAAATCGAAATCAAGTAAAAAATCAAAATCAAAATCTAGAGATTCTTCTTCTAAAGGAACTAAAAAGAAATCGATATCTACAACAACGACAACAACAATCACAAAATTAGCCAAAACAACCATTACTAAAAAGAAAACCAATAGTAATAAGCTTATTCCAACAGACATTATAAACTCAAATTTAACACCAAGAGACGAAGAGGATGCATTTTATTTAAAACAAGTAATGAATGACGCCTCAACCATCCAACAACTTTTATCTACAAAATCTGAGGAAGACTTTGAAGATAATGAAAGTATTGGTACAATGAATAGTAGTTTATCACCTCGTCCAGCCACACCATCATCACAACCACCATCCACTACAATTAATAAAACATCAAATAAATCAAAAGTTTTAAAGAGTTTAGAAGATAGCTCTGAAGAAGAAAATTTAATGAATGATAATCAATTAGTAAGTGTATTTAAAAAACAACCAGAACAAGAAGAGGAAGAGGAAGAAGAAGAGGAACAAGAAGAACCTATCAATAGAGAAACTGATGAAAGTATTATAAATAAAAGTTTTGATAATATTGATATATCAAATACTCATGTTAGCCAAACCGGTTGTGCTCGTACCGAAGGGTATACCAGAGATGATATTCAAAAATATTTTAAAAAGAAAGTTATTGCACCAGTGGGTAAAAGAGGGGCTGCATTATCATCAGCATCCGACTCTGTACCATTAACATCACTTTCATCACCAGCAAACAATGGTAACAATAGTAATGCAGCCGCAGATTTCGATGTGGCATCAAGATCAGCAAGATCATCAAGATTTGATAGTAGATTTCAAGGCTCAGACTCTGTTACATTAGCATCACTAAAGTCAAGAAGAAAAAAAATCAAATTCCAGCGTTCTGATATTCATGATTGGGGTCTTTTCGCCATGGAAACTATTAATGCAAAGGATATGGTCATCGAATATATTGGCGAAGTTATTCGTCAGAAAGTAGCAGATGAAAGAGAAAAGCGTTATATAAAGAAAGGTATTGGTAGTAGCTATCTCTTTAGAGTGGATGATGACACTATTATCGATGCAACTCTCAAGGGTAATCTTGCTAGATTCATTAATCATTGCTGTGACCCAAATTGTATAGCTAAAGTTTTAACAATCAACAACCAAAAGAAAATTATTATCTACGCAAAAAGAGATATTAATATTGGTGAAGAAATTACTTATGACTACAAATTCCCAATCGAAGACGAAAAAATACCTTGTTTATGTAAATCTCCAAAATGTAGAGGTACTCTTAATTAATTCATTTAAATTAAATTTAAATAAACTGGCTTCTGCCGAAACTTAAAAATAAAATAAATACCATTTTTTAAAAAAAAAACAAACATTATAGTTTATCAATATATATTTATTTAATTTTCTTTTTTATTATTATTATTATTGCTATTGCTATTGTTTTTATTAACTATTGATTTTAATTTATTAAATCCAAATTTTTTACTAAATATAAAATCTAATAATCTTGATGGTAAATATGATAATAATAATAAAACAGTTGAACCTGGACCATATCTTAAAACTCCTGAGCTGTTTCTTGAAAATATTCTTTTCATAATAGAATCAACCAAACCTTGAACTGGTACTTGATTTTTTAATGATGTTCTTGGTCTATCCATAATTTCATTAAAAATTGGTGCATATGGCGAATTTGGATTTGAAACAATTTCCTCTAAGCCTGGTAAACCCTTGTTAACTATATCTGTTTTTATTGGTCCTGGTGCGACAGTTAATACTTTAATGTTAAATGGTGCCAACTCTACTCTTAGACTATCACTCCAGCTGTGTAAAGCAGCTTTTGAACTGCAATATCCCGATGAAATTGGCATTGGTAAATAACCTGCTACAGATCCAACATTTACAATTAACCCTAATTTTTCTTTTATCATATGTGGTGCAACTTCTTTTGTGCATTTAACGGTACCAAAGAAATTAGTTTGAAACATTTCATCAAGCTCTGAATCTGGTAATTCTACAGCAGGACCATAATAACAAACACCACTATTGTTAACCAAAACATCAATTTTCTTTTCTTTCTCTATAATATAGTTGACTGCATCTTTGATAGATTGTGAGTCTTTTACATCGATTTGCAATGTATTAATACCCATATCTTCGAAATCTTTAATTGATAGAACGTCTCTACTTGATGCATATACCCTGAACCCATATTCGAAAAATGCCTTGGTTAAACACCTTCCAATACCTGACGAAGAACCTGTAATTAATACAACTTTGTCTACAATCATTTTTTTATTTATATATAAGAATTTTTTGGATATTATAACACAATATTATTAAAAAAAATGAAATGAAATAAAATTAAACTAATTTAATTTTAATTTTTTTTATAATTTTTTTTTATTTTTTTTTATTTTTTTTTATTTTTTTTTTAATTTTTTTATTTTTTTTTTCATTTCTTTTTTTTAATAGATTGTAAATTAAATAAAAATAACTATAAAATCATGAATATAGATGACGATCAATGTATAAAATGTAACAGTACATTATATTTAAATCCCTCGATGAAGCTGCTTACAGCTCCGTGTGGTCATAAATAGTAAGTAAATCATTTCATTTAAACCTGATCAGTAATACACAAAATAACTGACTTTTGATTTTTATTATTATTTTAGTTGTGAATCATGTATTCAATTAGCCTATATGAAAGACTCGGTTATAACCTGTTTAGGGTGTAATGCACAGCTTAGAAAACAAAGTTTTATGAATCAAAGATTTGATGATACTGGTTTAGAAAAAGAAAACTCAATAAGAAAGAAATATTTAAAAGTGTAAATATCAATTTAATATTGTTTTTTTATTTATATTATTTTTTATTAATTTTATTACTTTTTTATAGATTTAATAAAACTAGAAAAGATTTTAAGGAATTGGTTGAATATAATAATTATTTAGAAATGGTGGAGGATGTAATATTTGAGGCAATCGAAGGTGGGGATTCAGCATTAGCAGCAGAGAATAAACTAAAAGAATATCAAAAACAAAATCAAGCATCAATCATTACAAATAAAAAAGCAAAAGAAGAGGAGGATATATTAATAGCGAAAAAAATTGCAGATGAACAAAGAATAGTACAAGAAAAAAGAAATAAATTTTTATTAGAAGATCAACAAGAATTAACCAATAAGAAATTAGAGAGTCAAAAGGTGATGGATGATTTAGCAAAAGGTAAAATTAGTGCAAAGGAACTCAAAGAACTTGATAGAAAGAAGGCGGCACAAGCAGCCCAGAAACAAAAAGAATCATCCAAAGTTTCAGAACCATTACCACCAATTTCACAAGAGACTGATAAATCTGCAACTACATTTACATATCAACCAACCAACAAACCTTTAGATCAACAACAGAGCGGCCAACAACAGCAACAACAAGGCCAACAAGCTGTTCAAGCTATGATGTATTCCGAGCCACAACCAATAGGCACATTCAAATATGATCAATTAGAATTAAATAATTTAGTACCAACCCAACAACAAGCCGATGTAGCTGGGTTTAAACAAAAGTATATTAAACAAAGAGCATTCGAAGAAGCTTATCAATTTATTTAAAATATATAATAATTATATATAAATAAAAATAAATAGTAATAATTAAAAACTTATTATTATTTTTGTAAATAAAATATAAAAAGAAATATAAAAAGTTATATTCGATTATTAATTTAATAATTTATTAGTTTTATTTGTTTTAAATTTAAAAGTTTGTGGGAAATATAATATTTTTTTTGTTGTTGCTTTAAAGTTTTGAAGATAATAATGGGAAATCTTCAACTACGGTTCTTCTTAAATCATTGAGTTGATGTTTGGTTTGTGGTGATTTCTTGTATTTTGATAATCTTTCAGTTAATTCTTTTAATAAACCATCTTTATCTTGATATGGTGGTAATAATCTAATGTATTCTTCTGGTTCTTGTTTTCTTTCTCTTCTTGTTGGTTTCTTTTGTTGTTTTTTGTTTCCATTGCTTGAACGAGTAGTTCTTTTACCGACTTGTTCTTCTAATTTCTTTCTTTGAATAACTTTCATTTGTTCGAATAATTGTAAACTGTTACCTAAAATTTCCATTGAGCAAGATTCATAAAAGTTTGATTTGCCTTCTTCAAACATTTTTTCGGCAAACCAACCCATACGTTGAAGGAATTGGTTCTTTTTGATCATCATTTCTGGTTGGATTGAGAATAAAGTGAGAATACCTGATAAATAACCTTCAACTAATGGATAGAAAAGATTAGCAAAGAAGCTACAAGCACCTTCTGATTTGACGCCATAGAAAGTTTGTTCATTGGTTTGTTCTTTATTGATGATACCTCTGATGGCCATACGGTTGATTTGACCTTTAATAAATTCATCAGTATCATAACCTGGTTGATTAACAAATTCGATTGATAAAACTTTAGCTAAAAATCTAACTTCGCAAATAATGGTTTCTTCAGAAACTGTATCTTTTGGTTGTTTGTTGTTAACATTGTTGGTATTTAAAATGTTTTCATTTGATTGTTGATCTCTAGTTTGTAAGATTGATAAAATGACAAGTGAAACCAAACCATCCCAAAGGAAAAGATGTAATAATTGATTTCTATAAAAGTTTAAGACTAAAACATTCTTTCTATAGTTTTTATTTGTAACACCTAATTGGGCTGATCCTGGCTCGTACATATTTCTTCTCTTTGAAACAAGATTGCTGATAAGTTTTAATGAGTGATCAACTAAAGCATCTGATGGACCTTCAAAAGCAACATCACCACCACGAGCGAAAATTTCTTCACGAAGCCATTCGACTTTGGTAATGAGTTCTTCACGATTGATACCACGACGGAATGATAAAAGAATAGTGGCAACAACTGAGGTGGTAGTAATGATGATTGATTTGTTAAGATCACGAACGATTTGATAACCAAGATCTGAAATTAATGAACGACGATCACCATTATTGTTGAATGGATCATAGATGGCACCAGTAGCACGACTGTCTGGTTTATTGAAATTGATTTCAAAGTCACCTTCACTGATATTACTATTCTTTGTGCTTGATGGTGGTGCAATTGAAGCTGGAGTTGAAAGAATTGATGGAGCTGGAAGGGCTGGTGCTGGAAGATGACGTTGTGAAGCAACTTCTTGAACTTTTTGTTCGGTATATTGTTTAACAGAGATTGGTGGAGTAAAAACAACATTGATACGACCAAAGTTCATCTTTAAAACTTTTGAGGCACGTAAAAGACCATTAAGACTTTCTTTAGTTTTTGATTCACCCATCAATTCGTTAGAATAGAGTTCACCTTCTAATACTTTTTCGTATGAAATACCAATTGGAACAATGTGAACATCTTGAACACGATTTTCAAAATATGGTTGGCAAACCATTGAAAGGAGACCCATCTTTGGATGAAGTGATTTACCAGTACGAGAACGTTTACCTTCAATAAAGAATTCCATTGGTTGATTATCAATGACTAAACGTTGAACGTATTCAGAGAAAATAGCCCAGTAAAGTGAATCACCATGGAAAGTTCTACGAAGGAAGAAGGCACCAGCATTTCTAAAGAACCAACGAACAATGATGATTGAAAGGAAATCTTCACCAGCAGCAATATGTGGTAATGGAAGATTGTATTCAAAGAAGATGTAAGAGATGATTAAAAAGTCAATGTATGAACGATGTGATGGAATGAGAACTACTGGTGATTTTTTGATAGCTTCACGAATTAATTCGATACCTTTTTCGTCGACATGAATACCTTGATAAATCTTTCTCCAAACTTTCTTTAAGAACCAACCTAAAACTCTAACGACCATAATATTAAGATTTGATTGCATTCTATCCATGATTTGACTGGCTCTCTTTTCGATTTCACTAACTAAAACACCTTCTTCACGTGAAACTTTTTCCATAGCTTGTTGAACACGTGGTGAATTCATAACAAGTGAACGAATTTCAGTTGGAGCACGTGGTGGTAATGGAGTTTGAGTAACATGACGATAACTTGTAGATGCCCAACTAATATCAGCAAATACCCATTGGAAGAAACCAGATTGGTTGACTTCAGATTTAGTGATGATACTTGTGTTTAAAAGTTCAGTTGGTGGACGAACACCTTCTTCTTTGATAACGTATTTGTGAAGACCATAACAGAAGTAACAGAAATATGATTGCCAATTGATTTCAGCTGCATCACAATTGAACTTGATTCTATCTTCGCCATCAAAGAGATCTTGGAAAATCTTTTCTAATGTTTGAACAGAGAAGACCCATTCGTGACCAGTAAAATGTTTAAAAGTATCGCAAATTAATCTAGCAGCTTTAGTAATCTTTTTGAAACCTTCAGCTTTAGTTTTGGTATCTTCACTACCAGTAAGAACTGCTAATACTTGAAGTAATGCTGATGGAATACCATATTTCATGAAAAAGTGAGCTTCATACATTATGTGTGAATGGAATGAAAATGATGATCTAGCAACTGATTTCTTTGGTGTATGACTTCTCCAATATTCTGTTACATAATGTGAAATTCTATTCCATAATACTGGATTTCTATGACTTGTACCAATCTAAAAGAAATAAAAAAATATGAATTAATATAATTATAAATATTAATATTTTTAATAATTAAATTTAAACTTACTTGGAAAATTTTTAAGCTATTTTGACTTTCCATGGAGACAGCGGCAGCAATTAAAGCATTTGCAACATGATCAACTGGAACGATATCGGCAACCATACGACCATCACCTTTCATAAATTGAACTAAACCAACACCACAATATAACATAACAGCACCAATAGCAGCTACGGAATCAACCCAACCTGGAACTGGTTCTTTGAGTGAACCACCAACAATAGTTGGACGAACAAAACATAATGGGACATCACCACGCTTTAAAGCTAAAATACGTTCGGTAATAGCTTTAGTAAAAGTATAAGTATTTGGGTAAGCGCCTAATAAATTTGGTGTAATACGTTCTAATGTTTGAATATCTTGTTTCATAATAAGATCTACCATCTCTTCTGGGTTGAAATCTAAAACTGGAAGCTCTTCATCTAACCAACCTTCACGATTTGAATTAACATAAGCAGTTGAACAATGTACGTATGCTTTAATATTTCTGAGTTTTCTTGATAAATCCAACATATTTAATGAAGCATAAAGATTTGATTGAATGGCTTTATCGAGACGTTCACGAAAATCAATAGAAGCAGCACAATGAATGATGACATTAACATTATCGATAATTGTTTGAGTATCTTCTGGGGATAAACCTAAACCTTCTTTTGAAAGATCACCAGAAACTGGAACAACTTTGTTATGAATTAATTTATTGAACTCTTCTTCGCCGCCTAATTTGGCTTTTAATAAATCCCAAATTCTTGAGCCAATAATATCGTCGATAAATCTTTCTTTAGCATTACCACGAATAATAATATAGATCTTTTGAATGCCTGGTAAATCTCTAACCATCTTTTCAAGTAAGACCTTTCCAACAAAACCTGTTGAACCTGTAATCAATACATTTTTACCTTCATAAAAATTTGAAATTACAACCATTTTTTATTTATTATTATTATTATATTATTTTAATATTTATTATTTATTAATTTAATTTAAATTTATAAATTTGATATTATTACAAAAACACACTTTTTTTTTTTTTTTTTAAATACAAAAAAAAGAAAAAAGATTTAATAAATAAATACTATAGATATTTAATTTTAAAACTTTTGATAAATTTATAAATCATACAAAATTGTAAGAGTTTATAAAAGAGTGTGTATTTATTTGGTAATACAACAATATAACAACAATAAAAAAAATAGCAAAAAAATTTAAAAATAATTTTTAAAAAAAAATTTTTAAAAAAACTAAAAAAAAAAAAAAAAAAAAAAATTTAAATAAAATAAAAAAAAAAACGAATATAAAATTTTTGATTTTTTTATAGTTTTTGGTTCATATATGTTGATAAACATTTCCTTTTTTATTTGAAATGAACTCATATATTTAATCAAAAAAGCAATTGTATCATGGGAAAAATATAAATTACTAAATTATTATTTGAATTATATTTTTATATAAATAACCAAAAAAACGATTAAAGTCAAAAGGTTTTAATAAATATGAATTTTAAAAAAAAAAAAAATAGATATAAAATTAAGTAATATATTATTTTTTTTTATTTTTTTTTTTTATTAATATAAAAATATTTTCTTTTTTTTTTTTTTTTTTTTTTTTTTTTTTTCAAAAATAAAATTTTTTTTTTTTTAAATTTTTATAATTTTTTTTTAAAAAAAAAGGGGGAAAGTCATAATTAATTAAACATATAACCAAATTCGAATAAAGGAATTTTTTCTTTTATTTAATTTTTGTTTATTTTAATTTCGATTATAATGAATAATTTAGATAATCATATAGTTCGAAATGGTCAGAATAACACAAAAAATAATATAAATAGCCATAAAAAATCGGTAAATGGTAATTTGTATGCCAATACGGATGGTATGCCACCTCCAATAAATAATAATAATAATAATAATAATAAAAACCAACAAAACAATATAGGTAATGACTACAATTACAATGAAAACACTTTTTTAAATATTTACAAGCAACAACAGCAGCAACAACCACTACACCAACCTATACAGCAACCTATTCAACAACCTCTACAGCACCAATATATACATCAATCACCACATAACAATACTATAGCTAAAACCCCATCATCAATTTATAAACAAAATAGTCAATATACTTCAAATTCCCCAATACCGTTAAATTTGAACCAGGATCTTAGTCCTTTAAACAGTGGTAATATTAAAAGTAGACCATCACCATCATATAGACAGTTACCACCACAATTACAGCATCCTCAGCAATTTAATGTAAATACTGTATATAACCAACATCACCTTTTATCAACACAACCGATACAGGAGGGCTATTCAACATTTTCATCATTATCTCCAACATCTTCAATTGAAATGTTAAATCATCATTACCAAAAAAGTACACAGCAACAACAATCTCCACACCAATCTCCTCTTCAATTTCAACATAATCTTCACCAACAACAGCAATTTCAAATGCAACAACAGCAACAGCAACAACAACAATCACAATTTAATATACCACCACTCGAAACTATTGTTAATTCAATTTGTATTTTTTGCTGTTTGTCATGTAAAGGAATTATTGGTGATTCGACATTAGTTGTAGATGGACGTCAATCAGTTCATGACGTTTATATGAGATTATCAAAGACATATCTTTTAAATAAAGTTACATCAATGGTCATCCAGGGTGAAGAACAATTATCAAGCAATCCAGGCGAAGGGAATTGGTAAGTGATTATTTTACCTATAAATCTAATATATAATCAAATATATATTAATATTTATTAAATTATTTAGCTTTTTTATAGCATTATATTGTAAAGGATGCAATAACTATATAGGTAGAAAATATACAACCACAACACCACAGTTTAATTTTTTATTGGATATACATGTATTGGATATTGACTCTATTTCTTAGTATGTAGCAACATCGTTATTAATATATAAATTAAAATAATAAAAATTTTACTAATCAATATTTTTTAGCTATCGTGTTGGTGGGGTTTCATCAAATACTGACCCGCCACCATTACCAGTCGAGAATGATCAATTAACTAAAATGGTCGATACAATGAAAAGTATGAACGATAGAATCATTTGGTTAGAAGATCAAATGAGTGTAATTATAAATACAATACATGGCTTTATTCAAGAAAATGCAAATACTGATAATGGCAATGATATTATAAGCAGCAATAAAAACAACAATAATAATGACGAGGGCAGTAAAGATAATAATATAGATATATCCCAATCATCATTACAAAAGAATAAAAGAAATAGTATTAATAGTAAGAATAGTAGCAATAAAAGTGATAAAAAATCAAAAAGATTAAAAACAAGTGATGATGAAAATGATAATAGCGACACTTAAAAAAATTAGTTTATTATTTAAACTAATTTTAGAAATAAATTGTAAATAGAATAAAATAACATTACCGAAAGGATAAAACAACTGAACTAATCAAAGATGTTTTTTAATTATTCTTTTATTTATTAGCTTCATTATTTATTGTTTCCCCACCTAGACTTTTTTTTTTATAAAACTGATGGAATTTTTTTCCATCAGATTCCAAAAGTTTTATTCAAAAAAAAGTTTAAAGTTTATTTAATGATCAATTGCTATATGGAGGCCAGCCTAAAGATTTTCCACCTATTAAGAATTAAAATAAATTAATATATTTATGTAAGAAAATAAAAGAATAAAAAAATAAAAAAACTTACCAATGATGTGAACATGTAACCATCTAACTGATTGACCAGCATGGGCACCTTCATTAATAACTAATCTATACGAGTCAATACCTTTTAATGAGGCAATATGTGGAATAGTAGCCATAATATGACCCATATGTTCTTTGTATTTTGCTAAATCAACATGAGCAACATCACCAACACCACCAACTGGCAATTTTGGAATAACAAGTGTATGAACTGGGGCAACTGGGGCAATATCATCAAATGCAATACAATAGTCATCTTCGTAAACTTTTTGAACTGGAATTGTACCATTAACAATCTTGGCAAAGAAAGTATCCTTTGGGTCTATTCTCATCTATAATTGATTATTATTAGAAAACAAATAGTTAGCAAACTGTTAAAGTAGTTTCTATTTTATTTTTTAAAATATTTACATTTGCTTCGGTAGCACCTGGTTTAACTGGATCTGACATTTTATTATTTTTGGTTGTGAAAAATCTGTTTAAATTATTATTATTAATTAAAAGTGATGGTTTAAAAGCTGATTGGGTATTTAAAAGATTAGTACAAAAATAACGTGATGATCTAAAAACTAAATTATTACAACAATACTTTAACATATGTTGTATGATATATAAAATTTAAAAGTGTGTGTTCAAAAAAAAAAAATTAATTTTTAAATTTTTAAAAAAAAAAAAATTAATTTTTAAAAAAAATAAAAATAAATTAAAAAAAAATAAAAAACAACATCTAATTTAATTATTATAAATTATTATGAATAAGATAGGATTAAATTATTACATTTTAACAACAATTTTACTAAATAGAGTTTTAAATTTAAATTATGGTAAAAAAACAAAAGAAATCTAATTTAATCATGATTAAATATAGGGCATAATTAAATTAAAATAATTTTTAAAAATAATTTTTAAATAAAAAAAATAAAAAAAAAAAAAAATAAAATTTAAAAAAAAAAAAATAGTTTTTTTTTAAAAAAACGAAAACTTTTTTTTATTTTATTTTTTTTTTCATTTTTAATTCTTTGTAGTAAAGAGATATAATATAACATTTAAAATGGGTGGTATTAGAAAATTTAAAAAAGGAGTTAAAGGTGAAAACTTAAAGTTTATGACCAGAAATGAAGCTGTAAAGAAATTACAAGTATCATTAAAAGTATTCAGGTAATTATTTATTTATAAAATATAATCAAAAAAAAAAAAAAACGAGAAAAAAAAAAAAAAAACGAAATTATATATTAACATTGTTTATTATTATTATATTTATTTATTTATACATTTTATAATATAAAGAAAATTATGTATTCTTAAAGGTATTCACCCAAGAGATCCAAAAAAGAAATTAAAAGGAAAAAACAAGACATATTACTATGCTAAAGATATTAAATATTTACAAAATGAAAAGATTTTAGAAACAATTAGAGAAAGAAAAACAATTAAAGAAAAAGAAATTAAATTAATTGCCAAGAAAGAAGTTGCATTATTAAAGAAATTACGTGAAAATCGTCCAATGATTTCATTAGACCATATTGTTAAAGAACGTTATCCAACATTCGAAGATGCATTAAAGGACCTCGACGATTGTTTAAGTTTAATATTTTTATTTGCAAATATGGATGCATCACCAAAGATTCGTGAAAATCAAATTAGAGCATGTGAAAAGTTAGCACGTGAATTCCAATATTATGTTGCCAAAAGTAATAGTTTAAAGAAGGTTTTTGTATCAGTTAAAGGTATCTACTATCAAGCCGAAATTATGGGTGAAACCATTACCTGGATCACTCCACTCAACTATCTTTCAAAAAAAGAAAAACAAGTCGATTATGGTGTAATGATCAGTTTTATTGAATTTTATCAAGCTCTTATGAAATTTGTAAATTACCGTCTTTTCTCATCACTCGATTTAGAATATCCACCAAAGATTGATGAAATTAAATTAGGTAAAGCCGAAGGTTTATTCAATATTTTCGATAGTCTTAAAACCAAAACTGCCATTAATGCCCAAAAGAAAATTGAAGCCGCTAAAGCTGTTGCTGCTGCTGCCGCTGCTCTTGATGGTAGCAAAACTGCCAAGGCCGATCCAAAACTTAAAAAATTAGAAGAAAAGATTTCAAAGATTTCAACCAAAGAAGAAAAATCAATTAAAGAACCAACTGAATCTGAAGAACAAAACGATTTACAAGTTAATGCTAGTGGTATTTCAAAAGATTTTGAAGGATTAGTTGACGAAGAAAACAAAGACGATATTCCAAAAATTTTAGATCATTCAAACCTTTTCAAAGGTTTCCACTTTTTCCTTGGTCGTGAAGTTCCACGTCATATTTTAGAATTTATTATCCTTTCATTTGGTGGTAGAGTCTCAGTTCAAGGTGGTCCAGTCTACGAAGGTAACCAAACTATCACTCATCAAATCATCGATAGAAATACCATCACCAAAACTTATCACACTAGAGAATATATTCAACCACAATGGGTCTTTGATTCAGTTAACAGCAAAGTTTTACTTCCATACTCTGAATATAGTATTGGTGTTATTCCACCAGCCCATCTTTCACCATTTGTCGAATACGAAGACGACGATTACATTCCAGCCCGTAAAGCTGCTCTTGATGAATTAATCAACTCTAAAGATTTCGCAAAAGCTATTGCTCAAGAAGAACAAGAAGAAGAAGACGAAGAAGAAGAAGAAAAAGATAATGAAGAAGAAAGTGATGATGAAGATGAAGAAAATGAAGATGATGCTGAAATTCTTGAACAACGTTATACTGAAGAGTTAAGAAAAGAACAAGATAGAAAGAGAAAATCACGTGATGATGATGAAGAATCTGAAGAGGAAGACGAAGAAGATTCAGATGAAGAAGAATCTGAAGATGAAGAAATGGAACAAGATAAACCAGTTGCTGCTAATACTACTCCAGCTCAAATGACCAAAAAACAAAGAGAAGATTTAAAGAAACAAAAACAAAATGAAGAAGAACTCAAATTAGCTGAAACTATGATTAGAAAGAAAGAAAGATGGATTTACAATAAAATTAAAGAAACTAACCAACAAAAAGTTGCTGCTACTCAAAATCTTATGGACAAGAGAAATAAAATTGAATCAGGTAAAGATGTCAATGGTAGAGAAAAACAATCACAACCAGCTAAACAACAACCAACCAAACAACAACCAGCTAAACAACAACCAGCTAAACAACAACCAGCTAAATCAAAATCATCAAGTGCTTCACAACCAGTTGTTAAAAAACAAAAAAAATAAATATAACAATATGAATATATATTTATTATAAAAGAAAAAGAAAAAGAAAAAACAAATAAAAAAAAAGAAAAATAAATAAAAAAAAAATAAAAAATAAAAAATTTTTAAAAAAAAAAAATATAGTTTTTAGATTTATTTATAGTTTTATAGTTTATTGTTACTGTTTATAAAGAAACTAAAAAATCAAACCAAAGAGAAACGATTGTAAATTTTAATGGTACATAAAGCAATCTACCAACAAATCCAACCCAGTGGTTTTTTGAGTAGATTCTTTTAAATTTCTTTGAGAATGAAATTAGATCTTCATCTTTTCTATTTGGTACTTCTTGATCATTGCTATTTTGTTTGATTTTTAATGGTTCTGGGTATTTAAAGATTAAATTTAATAATAAATTTGAAAATTGAAAGGCTTCTAATTGGGTTTGGAATACAACTAGAGGGTGGGTCACAATAATTGCTACAATGCTTGATATTAATAATATTAAAACTGGTGATCTGTAATAGAGGTAGTTTATAAAGTATGAGATTGGATTGCTAGAGGCTAATGCATTTGTATTGCTTTGACCACCTTTGATAATGTTGATAAATATTGAAGCTTGGTAATAGTTTAGGATATTGAATAAAAATAAGAATACAAAATAAAAGAAAACTTCGTTGAAAACTGAGAGTAATGAATCACCAAATACGGAATAGAGGAAATTTAAAACTGGGCTATTCATTCCTTCTTTTATAGTTCTTTCTGTAAGATTTAAACTTTCATTTATTTTGTAATAATGATTTAATTTGATGCTTTGGCCACTCTCGCTTCCAATACTATCGATTTCATCTTGAATCTTTCTGTAGGACTTATTTTTATTGCTATCGGTATTAAAAAGTGATGATGATTGATTTAAACAAAATATTGGATTGATATTAAACTTTTTTGAATCTTTGTGAACTTTTTGTAGTTTCTCTTCTAACCTAAATTGAAGTTTTATTTTGAAATACTGTGAGATATATTGAATGACACCAAGAAGACCACCAACAAATATAGATATTGATATAATTGAAAACATCGAGTATAAATTATTTTGTTTATTTTTTAATAAAGCTAAAACTTCGTTATTGTTATATGTGATGTTATTATTATTATCATTATTGAACTGGTGGTTATTATCAATGTCTATTAAATAATATTCGTATGGTTTTGATTTCCACAAAAGTAATGGGTTATATATATAGTATAATAAAATTTGGACAAATGCTGATGATATAATGTCTATTGTAACACCCTTGATTAGGACTTTCCAACCAAATTCATCTATAAAGCACTCTTGATTATTGGTTTTATTTGATCTGAAAATATTTTGTTGAGATAAGAGATGGTAATAATACGTGTAAAATCTTTTAATGATTGGGAAAATTTGTAACCTTAATCTATACATATCTAACGAAAATATAACAATACTAGATATAATAGTTGATAGTAATAGATAAAATAGTAATAGCATTTTATTTGATTATATATAACAACAACCAAGAATGATGTGTGTGAATGAAAAAAAAAATGAAATTAAAAAAAAATTAATTTTTTTTTAATTTTTTTAATTTTTAAATTTTTTATAATAAATAATAATTAGTTGGTAATAATTACCGAATTGAAATTCCTTTTACCATATTTAAACTTCTCACAAAATACGAACCTCAAAATATTTCAAATAATGATTTGGTCTATATGGAGAAAAATTTCAATTTTTAATTATTATAATAGTTTTTATAATCTGAGATTACCAAGATTTTTTTTTTTTACAAATTGATCAAACATTTTTTTTTGAATCTTTTAAAAGAAAGATATCTTTTTCTTTTTCTTATAAAATTTAAATTTAAAATAAAAAAAAGAGAAAGAGAAAGAGAAAAAGAAAAAAAAAAAAGTAAACAAAATTTTAAAAAAATATACTGTTTTTTTTTTTTTTCTAAATTATTTTATATCTTTTTTTTTTATTTTTTAAATTTTATTTATTTTTTTTATTTTTTTTTTCGATCAATCCAAATAAAAAAAAAAAAATTTAATTGAAAACTCCATATTTTATTTTAACTATTTAATAGAAATAATTATAATAAATTCACTAAAGAGAATCGAAAAAACACTTTATCATTTTCAATTTCTTATAATTTCAATTTAGTTTTATAAATTATTGTCGCTTTGTTTGTGGTTTTTTATTTTTTTTTTCTCCAAGCCCAATAATTTCAAATAATAGCATTATGATGATAATTTTTATTAAAAATAATTTTAATTAAAATAAATTATTCTTTATTTATAAAGATAATGGTATTAGTGATATTAATCTATAATTGATCGCAATACTTTTATCAGTCCAACCCATTATGAAACTCTTTGTGTGTGAATTACATGTTAAATTTTATTAATTTTTTTATTTTTTTTTTGTTTAATTTTTTTAAATTTTTTTACAAACACTTAAATAGAAAATTTTTTTTTTGTAATTTAACACCCAAACAATTAATTTAAAATAAACCCACATAAAAATTATAAAACATTATAATAAAAAAAAAAGAAATAAAGTATAAACATAAAAATAAATTTAAAATTTTTGAAAATAATAAAATGGATATTCAAATGAATAATAATAATAATAATAATGATGAAATTTACAGCATCATTTTAAAAATTGCAAATAAAGATAGCAACAACAATAATAATAATAATAATAATAATAATAATAATAGTAATAATGATTATTTATTTTTTAAATTATTTCGTAATTTAACAATTAAAAGAGAAATTTTATATCATTTAAATCTATTTAAAAAGTATTACCATTACTCCACAGACTCTAGCAAGTCATTATTCGATTTTAAATATAAAGAGTATGTTACTTCTTTAACCATAGAAAGAGAAATAAATTTAGAGAATGAAAACGTGGTTTACAAGTTTCCAGAAAGAATAAGTAGGCTCTCTTTTGGCAATGATTTTAATAATCAAATTATAAAAGGCTCCATTCCAGAGACAATTACATGTATACAATTTAATAGTAAATTCGATGCCCCATTAAAAACTGGTGATATACCATCATCTTGCAAATCTTTGTGGCTAGGATGCTTCAGTCGTTCATTTGATTCAAATCTACCATCAAATATTACTACCCTCAGTCTCGGTTGGTTTAACCAAGCTTTAAATGTTGGTGATCTACCAAAATCGCTTACTGAGCTATCATTTGGTTTCCTCTATAACCAGCCATTGAAAAAGGATGCTATACCCAATTCAGTTACTCGTCTTTCTTTCTCTAAAGAGTTTAATCAGCCACTAAAAGAAGGTGATTTACCATCATCATTAACTTCTTTATCTTTAGGAAACTCATATAATCAAAAAATTGAAATTGGGGTTTTACCACAGTCTCTTAAATCAGTTTCATTCGGTGATGCATTTGACCAACCATTAGATCCATTTGCTATACCAGGAAAAGTAGAGCAGATAGTTTTTGGAGAAAATTTTAACCAGCCATTGGAGTGTAACGTTATACCACCATCGGTAAAGACTTTGATGCTAGGTTCATTCAATAAACCTTTAAAGAGTGGTGTTCTACCAGAATCTATCGAAAGACTATATTTCTTATATTTTAACCACCCTCTAGGTATCAATCATATCCCCAATTCAGTTAAAGTTTTATCAATGGGCAAAATGTTTAATCAAACACTTTCTAAAGGATTCATACCATGCAGTGTTACAGATCTTTCATTTGGTTCAAATTTCAACAGGGAATTGAAGGAGGGTGATCTTTCGTATGGAATAAATATATTGTCATTCGGAATGCTATTCAATAAACCATTTGCACCAAATACAATCCCAGAGTCAGTTACAGAGCTCAATCTAGGCCAAACATTCAATCAACCATTATCAGCTTGTCATTTACCATCAAATTTGAAATCACTAGCAATGGGAAGAGAGTTTAGTCAAGTAATTACTGAACACGATGTACCATCATCTTTACAGTCACTTTATTTATATAAATATACAAATCCAATTGTCAATACAATTCACTATCCAAATGTTGTTAACAGCGATTATTTATTACATTGCAAAATACCAAGTCATGTTAAATTGGTAGTTATTGATAATGACATAGATTTAAATCAATAGATACAAAATAATAATAAAAGTAATGTTTTTTTTCTTTATTTAATATTTATTTTATTTATTTTTTTATTTATTTAGTTTATTTATTTTATTTATTTATTTGTTTTATTTATTTATTTTTTTTTATTTGTTTTATTTATTTATTTATTTATACCATTTCTTTTTGATTATGGTGACATAACTTTATTAAATGTTTCATTATAATGGCTTAGTGTTTGTTTGGCTAGTGTTGGATTTGAAAATGGACCCTTTAATCTATAGCAGGAGTTACAATAAACTACATTCCATAGTGAATTATAAAGATCTTGATCATTTTTCTTTATTTCTTCAAAATCTGGTAAAACTCCAATTTCTTTTGCTAAATCATCGCAATGGATAACAGTATCATTATATGGAAATTGATATTTTATTTCTGCATTTGCATTACGGATGTTAATTTGATCTTTAATTCCATTTTCTATGATTTCTTTAGTTGGTTCTTTAATAAGACCTGAAAATACATATACCACCCATCTTGACATTAACTCTAAAGCTATATATAATAATTAGTATAAAATTCAAATAGTTTTTTACCAGTATTTAATTGTACTTACTATTAAAGAAAGGGGTATTGATAATTCCAACAAATCCAATATTTTTTAAATTACGTGGAAATACATTTTTATGTAATAAGCAAGATACATAGTAGTCATCTGGAATATACTCTATTTCATTTAATATTTCTTTGTCCAAAAATGTTAAGTCTGTTTGATATCCTGTACATAATATAATTTCGTCAAACTCAAAGCTCTTTTCATCTACATCCTGCTCTTTAAATTCAAATGTAATTTGTTTTTCATTTACATTTTTGATAGCACAATTTCTTAATAGTTGAATATCGCCTTTCTCGACTGATGGAATATAATCTTCATGAGCTATAATGAAATATGGTGGGAGAGAAAAAGCATCTTGGCTATATTTAAAGTCTTCACAGCTTAGGTTGTTTTTAGTTAAGAATTGTACTATATTGTTTAAAGTTTGGTTATATTCTGGCTTTGATAGTTTGTTATTTTCATAAGAGGTTTTTCTAACATAAAACACAAAGTCAATTGGAGCATTAGTTTCAGTACCTTTTTCTTTATCTACTACGAGAGGAATTGTGTTTGATAAAACCCATTGATTATCCCTTCTTACAACTTGATGGACGCTTTTGGAAGTTTTTGCTAAGTCGACAGCTATTTGGGAGCCACTGAATGCATTACCGATGAGAAGTACTCTTTTATCTTTGTAGCTTTCTGGGGATTTATATTCTCTTGAATGAATAACATTACCAGTGTATGAATTTAATAAACCACCTTGGTCAAATTTGGCTGGGGTGCTATTGATACCACTTGCAATAATTACAAAATTAAAAACTTGCTCTTTTGCCTTTGGCGATTCTTTATCGGTGTTATCTATCCATTCTATTTTCCATGAATCTTGTTCAGCTTTTGAAACTCTGGTGACACTACAGCTGGTGTTAATATGACTGAGCACATTGAATTTTTTAGCATAATTATATAAATAATTATAAACTTTTTCTTGAGGTAAAAACATATCACTGTCGTTTATATCATGTGGAAAATCAGAGAATGCACAAGAGAATTTTGAAACATTTGTACGCAAACTATTCCATGCTTTTGTTGTATTTGGAGCCCAATTGCCACCAAAATTTTCTTGTTTTTCAAATACAGTTGGAACTAAACCACACTCTAATGCTGACTTTGCAGAGACTAACCCTGATGGACCTCCTCCAATAATTGCTATTGTCTTCATTTCTCCTGATATCATTTTTTTTTTATTAAAAATAAATATGGTTTTTTTTTTTTTAAAAATATTTGTGTGGTATTTTTTTTTTTACTTGAAAGTATAAAAAAAAAAAAATAAAAAAAAATACCCCCATTATTTTTTTTTTTTTTTATTTTTTTTTTTTATCGATATTTTTTTTTTAAATATAACGTTTTTTTATCGCGATAATTGTTATATATTATTTTATTATATATAATAGAAATAGTTTAAAGAGTTTTATAGAAGCTTTTTAAAACAGGCGAATAGAATAAATTAGATATCTAAATTTGTTTATTTTTTTTATTATTTTTTTGAATCTATCTCATTTCTATTGATTTAATTTTCTTTGATAATTGATTTTCAACAAATTTTTTACGATATACAAGATATGAGAGAGATACAATTAAAGCGACACCAACTATTGAACACACAACTACAACTGGTATTAAATATTTGGGTTTTGAATTTGAAGTATTTGAATCTTTTGAACAAGTTTTAAAATCTGATGTAATAAGTACAGAAAAATCTAAATTGATATAGATAGTTTGTTAAAAAAAAAGAAAAAAATTAGAAATTTTAAAAATTAATGTATTAATGATAATAATAAATACCTGGGTCAATAACACACTCTGTACAGTGTGGAAGATTTAGGCCAATTATGATAGAATCTGTTGAGTTTGATGGAATTTGGGTGGATGTAATACTTGTTGATCTACCATCGCTAAGAGCTCTATTAAGGAAACGACCATATAATAATTTTTCATCTTTCTTTATGGTGATAAAATTTAGTTCATCATTGTTTTTATTTTCTAAATTGGTCTCTCCATTATAATTACAATCATCTTTTTGGGATAAACTAGTTACTGATGATTCAAAATGAAGTTGAAGAGTAGATAAGGACGAGATATATTGATAGTTGCTGATTGATGCTGAAATTTTAATTGAGCCTTTTTCTAAAGTGAACTTGTAGTCTGCAAAATCATATTCTTTTCCAGACTCCTCTTTAACTTCCTCTATTGTATAAGCAAGTGTACAATTATATGGTGATTGCTCTATTGTTTGTGTAAATCTGCTAAATGAACCATTTGATTTTTCAAGTACCCATTTGTCAAATAAATCATATTCCCCTAAAACGGTACCTTTAATATCCAATTCTAAAAGCTTTATAATCATAATTTGATAGCTAGTATGTTCATTGTTTATAATGGTTGTACCATTATTATCTACTGTTGTGCTTGATCCTGGTGTTTCTTTTGATTGGCAATCTAAACCAGTCCAGCCGCTTTCACATTTGCATTGACCTGTTGATTCGATACATCTACCATGAGATCCACAGTTATTTAAACATTGTTTTACTTTTTTAATATAAGTGAATAGATCTTTGCCAACCCAATTAATGTTATTTTGGTTTATATAGATTGATTTCGTTCCTGTTCCGGGTCCAATATTACACTCAATTGTATTGTTTGTGATCGAGGTGACATTGCAATTTAAAGCTCCAAAATATACTGAAAGTTCTTTATGAACTGTACCAAATACTCCATATCTAAAAGAAAGAATTAAAAAATATTATTAATAATAATTCTAAATTTATAAAGAATATATTTATAAAATATATTTAATTACTTACATTATTACTTTTCCACCAGACTCATCAACTATTGATGTAGCTGAAGCATAATGATCAGGAATTTCACAATCCTCACCTGTCCAACCAGATATGCAGAAGCATCTAGCTGTTTTCAAATTACAAAATTCTTTATCGGTGCAATTACGGTAACATGGTGGTGGTGATACAGCTGCTAGATATGGAAATGAGATAACTTTTTTTGGAATAGCAGAGTTTTCGAAAGTAAAGTTAAATGAATTTGGGATTTTAGTGTAAAGAAAAGTTGAAATTTCTAAACGGAATGAAGGTACCACCAGGTCCCATTTATAAAATTTAAGATCCAGCAGGTCTGAAAAACCTAAATTTTTGCCTTGTAAAATTATCTTATTTCTAGCTTTATCCAAATAAACATTTCCTGTTATTTCACATGCTGGTGCATTTAGATACATATAGGCGTCGAAAGATTTACCAAAAGTACTAGGGTAACAAAGAAAACATCTGTATGGGAAAAAATGTTAGTAATTGAATTTGGAAATAATAAAAAATTATTTTAAAATAATAATAGTGAAAATACCCTGGTGCTGGAGCTGTTAATAAATTATTTGTTAAATCAAAGACAGATCTAATTTTATTGTTAAATGTGCAATAACTTTCATCAAGAGGACCTGTTAACTAAAATAATTATAAAAATCACTATGTTAATATAATAAATTTTTTTTTTTTAAAATAATAAAATTTACTTTATTACCAGTTAAATTTCTAAATTTTAAATTTTAAAAAAAAGCATTAGTATTTTTAGGTTTTTACAAAGTAAATTAATAACTTACAAATTTTCGAAATTGTTCCTTTTTATTGTTGGGGGAGATCTGTTCAAGTTTGAGTTTATTAGATAAAGTGTTTGTAAATCTGAAAATATAAAAAAAGAAGTCAATTTATCGAAATTACCACCATCCAGAGTTAAATGTCTCAAACCTCCTAAAGAGGAAAAAGGGACATCACCATTTATGTTAAAGTTATTGCCAGCATTTGCTATTTCAATTTCCTCAATAAAATTAGAATATAACTGCAAATTAATATATGATGATGGTTTTTTTAAATTTGAAACCAAACACCTGAAAAAAAAAAAAAAAAAAAAAAAAAAAATAATTAGTTTTTGAAAACTATTTTAAAAATGAATACTTGTATTAATTTAAACCTACAAATAATTCAAACTAGAGCCTGAAACATTAAATAATTCGATTGGAAAATCTATAGGAAAATCATTTTCTATATAACTAAATAAAATATTAATAAATAAAACAATATTTTTACATTCATTTTAATTTGTATTACAAATTTTGTAGGTCTCTAAAAGTTTTTAACTGTTCCCATGATTCCTGGATAAATGTGGCTTGTCTTAACGATAACCATAAATTATTGATAATAACATTTGTAAGTGATGGAATATTACTTGTTACTGTGCTAAGTGAATCGAACTGTTTTGGTGAAGTGAGATCATTCACCAAACTAATATCTATTGTTGCTGCGACCGGGTCAATAAATACAACAAAATAATTATTAAGGTTTGAAAATTTTATATCAGTTTTAAAATCTATAAAAGATGTATTAAGATAACTAAAAGTATAATAAATGAAAGATATAAAAAAAAACAAAATAAAGAATAAAGAATAAAAAATTAATTTTTTTTTTTTTTTCAAATAATAATTTTTCTTACAATTCATCGATCCCCACAATTGGATATGATATATTTTGCATATTATAACATGAATCAATTTCTAATGATTTCAAGGGTTTTAATTTGTAAATAAAATCTTTTTCTAATACACCTCCATATATTCTCCTATTGTAAAATCAAATAAAAAAAAATTAATATTTTCCCAACTATATTTTAATATAAATATTTAAAATAATTACAAATGTTCTAATTTTGAAAAACAGTTATAATCATTCGGAACCACCACATCACTAGTATTTTGAGGAGTGAAAAGGTAGTTGACATAGTTATCTTTGCAATATATAAAAAAATCGTCACCTTTACAAAACTCTCTGTTTCCATCACCTCCAATTGGATAACTTTCTATATCCTCAAAACCAAGTTTAGTATACACGTTTAAAAGACATTCATCTATTTGAGTTATTTTAAAAAAGTAAATAATATTAATATAATAAAAAATATAAAAATATAAAAAAACAATAAAAAATAAAATAAAATAAATTACAATCTGACTGAACAAGTTGCCCATAACCCTCTTTAATAATTAAAGAAGATAATAAGATTATTGAAAGTATTATATAACACCTCATTTTATTCATTATGTGTATAATTTGGTGAATATAAAATATAAAAATAAAAAATTAAAAAAAAAATGTGGAAAAAACTTGGTTTTGATTTTTTTTTTTGAATAAAAAATCAATTTAAAAAAAAATCAAAATATTTGTCCATATGAATAAATTATTTATTTTTATAATTTTTTTTTTTTTAATATATTTTAATTCATATTTTCTTTAAAACTCTATTTTATTTTTAAAATATTTTTAATTATTATTTTTTAAAAATACAAAATAATTTAAATATAATTATTTTATATTTTTTTTAATTGTATTGTTATATTTGAATTTATTTAAAATTTGGATTTTTTTTCAAAAAACCAAAGACAAATGGGTGGTGGGTTTGGAAAAAAAAATCAAAAACCAAAAATCCGTGCGATAAAAAAAAAAAAATTTCTTTTGCATTTATAAAATAAATAAAATCTTTTTAAAATTTTGAAACAAGTAAATTTTTTTTTTTTTTGAAAAGCGAAAATCATTTAATTTTTTTATTTATTTATTATTATAATTTTACAAACTAATAAAAAAAAATTTTATTATTTTTTTTTTTTATTATTATTTGTTTAAAGTATTTTAAAAACAAAAGATAAATAATTAAAAAAAAAGAAATGAATTTTTTTTTTGTTGCTCTTTTTTTTTTTTTTTTTTTTTTTTTAACATTAAAATATTTATATTAAATTAAAATGTTGTAAATGTAGTTGATTCTAAAATGCTTAGATACAGATTGGATCACCTTGGTTTGGAATGATGATTTTAACATTGTGAGTATTAAGAGCTTTTAATTGTTCATAAACAGCTTTTTGAGCGGTCCAATTGTTGGTTGCTTGGGTAACTTGTGGTTTGATGTGTTGAATAATTAATTTAACGTGTTTGAGGTTAGTGTAACCAGAATTGACGGATTGGGTTAAGAGGTAGTCCATTAATTTCATAACGTCTTTTGGTCTTAAATGGCCGAATAAGGTAGAGTCAGCAGCTTCATTTAAGAATGAGCATTCAAGGTAGATAGCTTTTAATTTACCAAGGGTAATTGATTTGAAAACATTGATGATTTTAGCTTCCCAATCGCAAGTGAGACCAGTTGATGATGGAACACCGGTATCTGAAAAGAAGGCAACTTGTTCACCAGAGATTTTATCAGTGAAGAGGAAAGCAGATGAGGTTAAGGTATCGTGACAAACGTCAAAGGTTTTGAATTTGTGTGAGAATGGGAAATCATTAGCAACAGCACCAGTTAAGCTAGCATTGAATTGGATGAGGGATTCAGCAACATTGTTTTCAATACCAGAGGCAACGGTATAGTATGAGTAACGGCTTAATTGTGGGAGATTTGGCCAGATGAACCAGTTGAATAAGTCTTCTTGGATGTATTTGTTGGTGGTTGGGAGACCGATAATTGGTTTTGAGGTTAATAAATTGGCAGTGAAGTTGTGGTTGGTAGTATTTAAACCCATTTTATTGAAGAGACCAACAATACCAGTGTTAATCTTTGGAGTAGCAGTGAGGTAACCGGCAGAGATATAATCTTCTGGTGAAACGATGATTAAACCACCAACATGATCGATATGGCTGTGACCAATAAAGTAACCGAGGATGTGATTTTTAATGAACCATGAGGTTTTTTGTTCTGGGAGAACGGCCCAATCTGGATATTGGATGTTGAAGAGGCTATTGAATTGTTTGAAAGTGGTTAAACGACGAACACCTGCCCAAATGGTACCAGCATCTAAAGCAATGAATAAGTTGGAACCTTTTTTGGTGAGTAAGAATGATGAAAGACCACCTTCATCTAAACCACCAGTAGTACCTAATGGAACGGTAATATATGAAGCGCTAGCACAGTCTTTGTTTGAACCGGAATAGTAGTTGTAGTTTTCATTTGAATAATAATCATTTATGTCATAAAAGTTTTTACCTGAATTTTTCTTGATGTTATCTTTTGGATTACCACCATCTTCATCGCAATCATCGTTATTATGAGCAAATGATGAATTTACGAAAATGAAAAATACTAATAATGCTACGATTAATTTTTTATGAATAAGCATTTTGTGATATTAATGTTGATTTTGTTGTTGTTGTTGTTACTATTGTGTTTATACTAATTTAATTTTATAAAAGAAGAATGTGTGTTGATATTTAATGATATAGAAAAAAAAAAAAAATGTATAGTGGTACAAGAGTTATTGATACAAAGTAATAATAGTGTTACAGAGAATTGTAGTGTTACAAATAAAATAATATTTTAATTAATTATTTAATTAATTATTTCTTTTTATCTGTTGTTTGTTATTTTGTTATTTGACTGAATGAAAAAAAAAATGAAAAAAACTATTCTTTTATATGAAACTATTTTATTTCGAAAACTAGTTTTTTTTTAAGATTTCTATTGGTTGTGGGGATGATGGTGGTAGTGTTGATTTTCCTATTATTCTAAAATTCTATGATTTAATTTTAGTGATTTGAAATACCCAACACACATAACTACATAGAAAAACACAAGAACAAAATAACTGACACAAAGTTGTGATTTAGCTGTGATTGATTTTACATTTTATTCATCATTTTTATATGAGGTTGGGTGTCTTTTTTTTCTTTTTTTTTTTTTATTTTCTTTTTAATTAAATATCAATTTTTCTACTAAGCTAAAAATAAAAACTTTCATATAAATCATTCAATCATTAAAAAATTAAAAAGAAAAAAATATAAAAAATAAAAAAATTTTTAAAAAAAAAAAAAATTTATTGGTCAATTCAAAAAATTTCATAAAACACACACAATAACCACAAATTTAAAAAAAAAATAATAAAAAAAAATAAGTACATTTTGATAATCATTATTTTTTTTTAATAATATTATTTATAAACTCGTTCAAATATCTCATGATTAATCACAAACCAAAAAAAAATATTTTATAAATCAGAAATTACTATTAGTTTTTTTTTTCAAAAATATTAACACACGCATTATTCAAAAAAAAAACTGTTGGGAATCATCATTACTTTCTTTTTTTTCTTTAAATTAATTAATTATTTTTTTTTTTTAATATTAAAAATAATGTTTTGCGCATATGGTATTGAGTGGGAAAAATAAAAGACAAGATATTTGTTAATACTACTAGTTGAAAAATACAAAGACACAGATATATTATTATTTGAAATGAAAATTTTCGCCCTCAAAAAAAAAAAAATTTATTTTTTATTTTTTATTTTTTTTTTTTCGTGGATTATTGAAAAAAAAAAAATCACCAAAAGATTCTCGGGTATTTAGATTTAGTGGGTTGAACTCTCATATTGTGAGAATTACTAATAGGCAGTATTAATTAAAAAGCGTGCATAAAAAAATAATATCTCAATCATCAACTGATTGTAAAAATAATTTTTATGTGGGTGGGATTTTATATTTTTTTTTTTTTTTTTCAATTTTAGGGCACCGTGGTGTAATCATGATTATGCGCATACACACTCTCTTTCTATCATCCTATATTCACACATAAATAAACAAACCAAGTTTTATTTTTGTTTTGTTGTAAGTTAGCTTTATGTGTGTGATTAGTAGTTTGTTTTATTATTAGGTTTTATTATATATCTGTGTTTTTTGTGTGGTGTGTTGAGGGTATTTTTACTTTTTTTTTTATATCTAAGTTTTTTTGCTTTTGTGAAAAGTGGGTTTATGTGTTAATATTAACCCCAACATAACCACATTTTAATATATTTTTATAAATCTATTTTTTTTTATAAAAATTAGATAAATAAGCTCCTATAACTAAAACAATTACGTAAATCTCTTTTTATCATACTTTTTTTTTTTTTTTTAATTGAAATTAATTAATTATTTATGTCTTGTGTGTAAGTTTTTTTTGGTTTACAAAAACAAACAATGTAAATATTTTTTGTTCACTTCTCACACAAAGTCTTTTAATTAGTTTATTTAATACCCCAAGGGACAACCTATCAATTTCGCAATCAATATTACATAAATCTAAAGAAATATTAATATAGTTTTGTAAAATTGGTTTAAATTTCACAAATTACTTTTTTTTTTTTTATATTCCAACTTTTTTTTTTCTTTAAATATGAACATACATATTCAAACTATTTTTTTTTTTTTTTTTTTTTTTTTTTTTTTTTTTTTAAAAATTTTTTTTCCCAAATTTTAATAAAAAAATTAAAAAATTTAAAATTTAATTCCCCGGTTTTTTTTTTTTTTTTTTTTAAAAAAAAAACCCTTTTTTTTTTTTTTTTTTCCCCTTTGGGAAAAAAAAAAATTTTGGGGGGGGGGGTTTCCCGGGGGGAAAAAAAAAAAAAAAAATTTTTGGGGGGGGGGGGGGGGAAAAAAAAAAAATGGGGGCGGGGGGGGGGTTTCCCCCCGGTTTTATTAATATTTTAAAAAAAAAAGCGAGAAATTTCGCCCGGAAAAAGAAAAGAAATAAAAAAAAGAAATTCAAATAATATTTTACAAGAATGTCTCGATTCCTTACCGATCTGAAACTGTGTTTTATTTTCTAAAAAATATGAAATAATGGTTGTTATAGTTTTAATTATAATAACGTTATGCTAATGGTTTGTTTCTTTATTTTATTACTTGAACTTTATAGGCTTCACCTAAATCTTTATCCTTAAGGCTTTCTGAGAGTGATTTATAAATTTCAGTTTTTAAAGAGCCATATGTTAGCCTATCTTTAGAGTCTATTGATTTTGCTAATGTAATAGATTCTTCTAAATAGTTTGAACATGCTTTATCGACCAACTTGAACTTTTCTGCGTCGGTACCACCAAATCTTTGACCCAATAATAGAAAGTTTCTTAATGTTGATGGATCCGAGATCTTTTCTTTTGCTATTGATATTAATCCCGGTGGAAGCGGCACTTTGTTTTGAATTGCATTTACACAGAAAAATCCTTTTGACATATTCATAACTCTAAAGTCGTGAACTAATGAAAAGAATGCTCCTCCTCCAAATGAATGTCCATTAATACATGATATAGTTACAATTGGCAGAGTTAAAAATCTTTCAAAAAATATTGACATATCATAAAGTAATTTTAAAAAATTATCTTTATTACTATTATCTATATTATCTATATTATTGTTGTTGTCTATTATAGTTTTGTTGTTTGATTTATTTAAAAATGGATCTATATCTAAACCTAAACTATAATGTTTTGGGTCAGTTGATGTTGTTATTAATATTCCAATTTCATTATTATTTTCGACATAATCTAATAACTGATTTAAACTTTCAATATTACCATTATTAAAACGATTTTCGTGATCATTTAATGTAAGTAATGCGATTCTTGGTGTATCTTCAAGTTGCTCTATATAAAATTTACCAAATTCCTTTTTATTTATCCAATTTGGTGAATTCATTTTAATTTATTATTATTTATTTATTATTGATAACAACACTGATTTATTGTTATTTTATACAAGTACACTCTTTCTTTGTTGCTAAGTCCCTTTTATCTGTATGTGTGTGTTGTCTCTGCTTTTATTGTCACTTTTTTTTTTTTTTTTTATGAAATTAAAATTTATTTAATTTTTTTTAATTTTTTTTAATTTTTTTTTTAATTTTTTTTTTTTTTTAATTAAATAATTAAATTACTATATTTATTTATATAATTCCCTAGTAGTATTTATATTATTATAATAAACAATAAAATATAATTATGATAATTTAATATTATTAATAAAAAATTAGTCTATTTTTATGTCTTTTTTTAAAATTATGTATTTATTTTTTTTTTATATGTGTTAAATTTCCTTTTTATAGTAAAATGTAAGTTTGTGTCAAGAGTGTGTGTAAGTGTTATATATTTGGAGGAGTTAATTTGAGTGCGGTGCGGTGTGGTGTTTTTGTTTTTTTTTGTTTTTTTTTGTTTTTGTTTTTGTTTTTGTTTACTTTATATGTAAATGAAAAGGTTTATTGCATTAAAAAAAAAAAAAAAAAAAAAAATTATTATATTATAATTTTTAAATTTATGTTTAATTTTTTTTTATTTTTTTTTTTTCAGATACAAATACCAATTTTCTTGTCAAAAATAACAAATTATTTTACTATTATATGAAATTTAAAGATAATAGAGTTGGATCTAATAATAATATAATATGCAAAGATTGTTATGTTTTATATATTGATAAACAAAAATAAAAAATAAAAAATAAAAATAAAAATAAAAATAATTAAATAATAATAAAAACCTATTTCCTTTTTTTTTTTTTTAATTATTGCATTCATTTGTCATTTGTCATCTGTCACTTGTCATTTGTATTAAAATTAATACCTTTTTTGTCTTATTTAAATAATTTCTAAATTTTCTTTTTAATTAACAAACTAATAAAAATGAATCCATTGTTCAATAATAAGACCTTTTTCGTTATTAGGGACCCAGATTATTTTGAGGTCAATGATATCATTTCATTGATTAAAGAAAATGGAGGAATTGTATCAGAAGATGTGTAAGTTAAATATAAATATTAAAAAAAAAAAAAAAAAAAAAATTAAAATTAATTATTTTTTTTTTCTAAAATCTCTTAGTTCCAAAGAGGTAAACTATGTAATTACTTCAACCAAATATAATAATTCTCACGACCCATTTTTCTTAAGAATGGCCTATATGTTAGGGATCCCAGCCATTTCCACCAATTTCCTAGAGTACTCCATTAAAAAAGGATCTCTCGCTGAAAATGAAAAGGAGTTCGCTATTACCTATAATTATTCATTCCATAAGAATATCTATAGCATGTAAATGCCTCTTATGGAGTGCTGCTTAGACCAATATAGAAATATATTTATAAAATTAAAATAAATGTAAAATTTTAATTGGTTATAAAATATTAAAATTGTGTAAATAATTAAATAAAATAATCTAAAAAAATATCTCTTATAAATTAATATTTATTTTTTTTTTTTTATTTTTTTTTTTTTAATTGGTATTATTAATAATTAAATTTAAAAGGATAAATTATTAATGTTATGTTTTCTTAATGTTGTATTTAACCAATTTTTAATTTGAATACCTGGGGTGACATAGTATTTATATGGATTGGTAATATATTGGGATTTTACTATACCAACTAACCTGGCATCACTTGTACTAAAAATAACCGATGATTCAGAATATCCAGGTTCTGGTACGGATTGAACTTCAATTAATCTCTCGTCAGAGAATGAAACATATCCCTTTTCAATTGAGGGTGTTACAGGTGGAACATTTATTTTAAAATCTGAAATTAAAACCTATAAAAGAAAAATATTAATATAAATAGTTTACAATAAAATAAATATTATGGGTAATAATACTTTTGGAATTCTTTCTTTTGGAAAACCACATAAGATTATATCTTTACAAAGAATTCCTTCATTGATGTCATGGAAGCTAATTGAGTTAATACTAATAACTTTTTCAAAATCTTGTTTTTGTTTCTCTTTTTCATTGTCATCTAAATGCTGATAGTCATAGTTTGGCTTTGTATATTCGCTACTATTTACTACATGATTCTTTTCATAAAATCCATCTGCATTTTCTTTATGATCGTGTTGCTGTTTAATATTGCTATTACTAGAAGAGGATGATGAGGAGGATGATGGTTCGTTACTTGATAATCTTTTGTTTGGTGAGTTTGTTTGTTTTGATTTACTACTATCTAAAATGTGGTCAAAAACACTTTCTTCATCATAAATTTCTAAAAGAGCTAAGTCAAAGTCATCATTTTCAGTTGTCATCTCTAAAAGTTTTGCTGATACCCATTTCATTGGTTTTGAGACACCAATATTAAATAAAACCTTATCCTGTGGGAAATCTGCATGATGAACAACATGCTTTGATGTTAAAATTAAACTACTACCAATTCTAACACCACATCCTAACGAAATAAATGTATTTTTTGTCCCAATTCTAATTAAAACTGTTCTATCTACTATTTCTCTTTCTATAAGATCTTTATTTATATAAATTTATTAATATAAAAATTGGTTTTAAATGTTTTAAATACTTTTTAATAGCTTACCTTTACTTATATTATATTCTTCAATATTTCTACCATTCTTCAAACTTTTGTTCCATTCTGATTTTGATAAACTATGAAGATTACGGTATAGTGATAAACCAAATGGTGACATACTTTGAAAATCTTCTAATGAATATAACATTAATTGATCCCCACTCCATTCGAATTTTGTTAAATCTACATCTTTTAACTGCGGAGATCTCTTTTTAAAATCATGTAGCCATGATTTGGTATCTTCGATACTCCAATCATTTGGATCTTTAAAAGTTTTAATTTAATTATATTTAAATAATTAAAAATATAAGTAATTTAGTTTTATTTTATATTAATTTATATTCAATTTAATATTATATATTTTACCTTTATATTTATACTCAAACTTATTTTCCATTAATGTTAAGTGTTTATATGAATATTATTATTGTTATTATTTGTTAAATTAATTAATTATATAATTGTTTTAATAAAAGAATTATTTTAATAAATTAATATTGAAAAAAATATATAATAAAAAAAATAAGTCACTTAAATGACTCTCTTTAAATCATTTTTTTTTTTTTTTTTTTTTAATATTAATTTTAATCTAATAATAAATTTGGTTAAAATTAAATTATTATAAATTTATTTTATTTATTTTTTTTTTATTTTTTTTAATTTTTTAATTTTTTTTTATATTTATTATTTTTTATTTTAAATATTATTTAATAGAGGGATGTCTTTCACTATTAATATTTAAAAATTATAGTAATTAATTTTATGGTAATTATTCAAAACAAAGAAATTTAAAAAATAATTAAAAAAAAAAAAAAAAATAAAGAAAAAAACAAATTAAAAATTTTTTTTTTTTTAAATATAATTTTTCCAATTGGGAAAATCGCAACTTATACCATTATAATTATAAAGTTTTTACTTAATTTTTGATGATAATGTAATATCAAAATCAAAAAAAGAAAGTCCAAAAATGTAAATTTAAATTAAAAAAAAAAGAAATAATTTTTTTAATAAATTTTAATTTTTTTTGAATAATTTTTATTTTTAAAATTTTTAAAATATTTTAAAGTATGGATAATCAAACAAAACAAACTGTATCACAAATACCATTATTAACTACAAAAGCAGGGCCTAGAGATGGAGACAAGTGGATAGAAAGAATGAAAGAAGAGTATACTTCTCTTATTAAGGTATGTTTATTTAACATTCATTGTTTTTACTAAATTAATTTAATTAATTCATTTGATTATAAATTTTAGTATGTCGAAATAAATAAAAAATCAGATAATGATTGGTTTAATATAGAGTCTAATCAAATGGGTACAAGGTAATTATTAAAAATATTTAATAAATAACATAGTAATTAAATAATGTAATAATAATTATAACATTACATTTATATTAAAGATGGCAGGGTAAATGTTGGTATATATATAATTTTAAGAAATATGAATTTGATTTCGAATTTGATGTAGGTTGTCATTAATACTATAAACAATTTTTAAAAGTTGTGTTTTATTAATTTTTTATAAAGATGCCAATTACATATCCAGAAACAGCACCAGAAATTGCAATCCCAGAATTAGAAAATAAAACAGAAAAGATGTATAGAGGTGGTAAAATTTGTTTAACAGTTCACTTTAAGCCATTGTGGGCAAGAAATGTACCACACTTTGGTATTGCACATGCTTTGGCTCTTGGATTAGCTCCTTGGTTAGCAGCCGAAGTTCCTCATTTGGTAGAAAATAATATGATCAAAGATAAATAAAATAAATAAATAAAAGAAATAAAAGAAATATAATAAAATTATTTATATTTCCCAAAAATAAGTCAAAATACCAAAGTATTAAAGAAATTGTTTTAAAATTTACAATATAATAATAATTATTAATTGTTTATAATAAACTATTATTATTTATTTAATTTCTTTTTTCTTTAAAATTAAATTATCAATATCGAATGAAGTTCCATCAGGATGAAGTTCATGGTATTGATTTGAAACTTGATTGCCTTTTTCATCTAGTTCCACTGCTTTTAAGAAACCATTATCTTCTAAACCAACTATTTTTACAGTTTTATTTTGCTCTTTTAGGTGAACTATTTGATTAGAGTGCATCCAAAGATCGATGTATCTTTGTTTCAATGGTGCAAAACCTTCTTTAGTGAATTCGATATAAATTTTTTCAAAAATGTTGAAGAATTTGGCAAGAAGAGCTTCTCTTGTAATGTAAACTGGGGTAATAGAGTCAGGATTGCTAACATGACCTTTTTGTTTTTTTTGTTCTTCCTTGAGATGAATCATTTGATTAATTGTAATAGTTGGATTATTTGAATTGGTAACATTAATTCCAATACCAATAACAACATCGAATTCATTATCACTATAATTTGATTGGCAGAGAATACCTCCAATTTTAAGGCCATTTCCATAAACATCATTTGGCCACTTTAAACGAATATTCAAGTCTTTAGCTTCTGGGAATGAGAGAACTGCTTCAACTAATGCTACACCACATACATATTGAAGGAATGGTAATTTGTTACCATCAGTTTGCTTACATTTAAATGAATAAATTAAACAACCTAGTGGTGATTCCCATTTATTATTACCTCTGCCTACAGCTTTATTTTGTTGATCAGCAACAACTGCTAAACCCTGCATTGTATTTGTAAAATATTTCATTGAAACAAGTTGGGTCGATGACATTAATCTTGTGAAAAAGACTTGCTGTCCAAATAAAATTGTATTTAATTCGTCAAAATAAGTTTTAAAATTGAATAGTGCACCATTTGTATCTTTATTAACACTGTTTCCACTATAATCATTCTCTAATAAAACTTTTAATTTATCTTCTGAGGTACTGTCCTTTAATGCATCATCATAAGAGTTGTAAAATGTTGCAAATGGTTGATTTGGGTAATGTTGGATACCATATTTTTGAATGGCCTCTTTTAACTGAATTGGTGATTTTGAAAATAATGATAAGATTGGTTCCCCACCTGACGTTGAAGAAATTGCGGCTGTTGTTTTTATGGCATTTAAAACACCTGCTGATATGTTATTTGATTTATACATTTGATTTATATTATATTAATAAGCATAAAATAAAAATATTTTTTAATTTAACAAAAAATTAAAAAAAAAAAATTCAAAAATTATAAAAAATAAAAAATTAAAAAATAAAAAAATAAAAAAATAAATTGGGTTAAGTTACCAAAAAAAAAAGATAATTTATTGTTATTATTACTGTGGTTATAAAATTTAATTTGCAAATATTATTTCTATCTTATATTTTGATATAAAAAAGATATATTAATTTTTATTTTAAAAATTTAAATCTTTTTTTCCTGCTTTCTTCCAATAATATTGAGCAGCTTGGAAATTACCAAGTTGGTGAAGTAAATTACCGTATTCTTTAAAGATTACTTGAACCAATTGATTAAATTTAAAAGATATATTGTTACCACTGCCTGTTGAGGATGAAATACTGATTTTTAATGATGAGCTCATGGCTAAAGAAATGGAAGATACCATATCATTCTCTTGGTTATCTTGGTCATCATTGTTGTCAAAGCTTGGAATTGTTAAAATATCATACTCTAAACAACAATCTATGATGAACGAAGCAATGTCATATTGTTGGGTATCATAGAGAATTTGAACTACACTCTTAAAGTCACCAATTGATAAGAGTAGGTTAATAGATTGTTGAATGTTTTGTTTTTGTTTAGTTGATAATAAATGTTTGATCCATGCTCTAAAAATTACCAAATGCTCTTCTTCGGAAAGATTGGTTTTTGAGAGTACTGCAGCGTCATACCAACGGTCACATGATTGTAAATATTTGCATGCTTCCATAGTTTTTCCAATTAAGCAAAGGAATTGAACACCTTCATCTAATTTGCCTACTGCTATTAAATTCTCTGCTATTAGTTTGGTTGTATTTTGGTAGTATTCTGGCGAAATTGATGCAGAGATAACGCATGCCTTCATTGCACGATTAAAGAAATCTGGATGGTCGGGGGTAGTATCTAAAAGTAGATTAACGGCTCTTGGAGTTCTACCTAGTAAGATATTCTTTTCAATGAGTTTTTTTGTTAATTCGCTATCTGGTCTCTTCTTTTCGTAACAATCTGCTTTATCCAATTCAATTGAACGTAAGCTGTGTGGATCTAACATTATATCGTAATAATTTGGTAATGTATTTTGGTGGAAATAGTTTTGACCTTGGTTTCCACGTGGATGACAATTTGATTTATTTAAATCATGTGATAGGTAAAGTGATGGTGTATTTGATCCACCAGAGTTCATACTGGCATCTGATAGCCCTAAATCCATTGTCGATTGATTAAGTTGTGATGCTACAGATGAAAAAACTTGTGACATAGATAGTGGGTTTGGTGTAGAGGTAGTAGCTGGGTTTGGTGTGGTATTGTTACCAACAGATAAAATTGGGAAAATTGTTGATGGAGATAAAATATTGTTTAGTCCTTTTGAGGGAGTTGAGGGTGGTGATTGAGCTACAGAATGTTGTTGCTGTTGTTGAAGATTTAAAATATTTGGTGATGATATTGGTGTTGTTACATTATTTGATATATTTTGGGGTTGATTTTGGGATGGTTGTTGTTGCTGCTGTTGTGGAACAGATTGTGATGATGGTTGAGGTGATGATTGGGTTGTTTGTTGTGGTGACGAAGTTTTTTGGCCAAAACCAAAGAATGATGCTAATGGTTTCTTTAAAATACTTGCAGCTGTTGTTGCAGCATTGTTTGAAGGTTGTGGTGTTGATGATTGAATTGATGGTGAGACAGAGTTTGATGGGGTATTGGTTGATATTTGTTGTGGTGGTATATTATTTAAATTTATAGCATTAGAGTTTGTATTACCTGTTAATAAAACTGGTGTTGTATTTGCTGGGTTTGGTGATATAATATTGCTATTGTTAACATTTGAAATTTGAATTTGGGGTGATAATGAATTTGTTGTATTTGTGGCAGTATTGGTTTCAACTACTGGAATTGGTGGTACACATGGTAATGAGTCATAAAATTCAATTAAATCTTGATTATAAAATGGCAAGTTGTTATTTTGTGTTCTATTTTTCATTCTTGTGAGTGTTGAAATACATATTCTCCAAAACTCTATTTCTTTACTATCACCAAAATACTGAGATACTGTTAAAATGGACTCTGCAATACTTATACCACTAGTTTTGTAAATAAAAGATGAGCTGTTTCTAATATTTTTTTCTTGTTCTCCTTCTTCCTCTTGCTGCGACTGTGATTGTGGTTCATTGTTATACTGACCTGATAAAATAGAGATGATTTTATCATCTACTAATGATAAAAGTTTTTGATTTTTTTCATTATTATCTTTTATAATGAATGTCGAGTCGTATGATCGATTTAAATCTTGTCTTTCTTCTAATGGGTCAGAGTATAGGAATATTCTATAATTTAATAAAAGGTTCTTTAATTGTAAATATTGAATAGTTGGTAAAAGAATTGGAGAGTATAAATAACCACCACTGCCACTATTTGAATCGGATGAGTAGATTGATTGAGCTATAGAGCTAGAGAATGTAAATCTTGAATTGGTAACACTTAGGGAAAGATCCAATACTCTAAGACTGTGATCTGAGCCAACAATCATTGGATTATTTTCGGTTAACCATTCAAAATCGATGGCTCTAATATCACGTTCTAACAAATAGGAACCAACAGCAATTCTTTGATTTAGATTTAAATCCCAGATACCAAATTCACCATTTGAAAAAAGAACTAAAATTTCGTTACTTGAGGCATTTGGAGAGAATCTAATTTTCTTTATTGGACCTCTATGGGTTGAAAAGGTGTGTAGTTTCTTTTTAGCACTGTTCCAACAATGTAATGTACCACCCATATCACCACTAACTAAATAATCACGTTTAGATGCAAAGCATGATTGTAATGGACCTAAATCTACATGGACATCTTGTAAAGTTACTGAATTTGATTCTATTGTACAATTCTTGATGGTTCCATCTTGCATAATAAATGTAAATTGTTCTTTTGCCTCGTATTTACTAAAATCAGAAGATAGTTCAACTTCAGAGTCTTCTCTGGGTGGAAGCCATTCCAATCCAACAATATGAACAAATGGTTTGAATGATCTTAAGCATGTAAATTTCTTTGTTTCCCATAGTTCGAATGGTCTATCTTTAAATAATATAATTAAAAATTTCCTTGAAAATGATAACCTAATTCCTCTAATTGGTGTTGGTTCTGGTCCTGATACTTTTCTAAACTCTTTAATTCTACCTGATCTAAAATCAACAGAGGTAATACTATTTATATAGTTTCCTTTTTCTGGTCTAAAAAAAATAAAAATAAAAATTAATGTCAGTTTTTTTTTTAAAAAATAAAAAATATTAACTTACTCTTCAAATGAAAAACACAATACTCTTCCTGGAGATAGCCAACGAATTCCATAAATTGGACGATTCCAAACAAAAATTTCTTTTTGAACCTTTAAATTGGACATGTTAACTATTTGAATTGTTCCATGAACTGTACCTATAGCAATTAGAGATATACTAGCTCTGTTATAGAATGGATATACAGACAATGAAGTATTTGGAGATGAAACTGTTTCATTAAAGCCAGAGATGGATAATTTAATAACACCATTTAGTGGCACAGGGGATAAAGGTGATAGCCTTGGAGCAAAGAGATTTGATGCTGCATTTGTTGTAATTTCAGAAATGAAATCCCACTTCCAAAGAATACCATCACCAGAAATTGAAAGAATAGTTTGTTCAAAGAATGGGCTGTTGGTGCAAGAATAAATTTGGTGATTCTTTTTCTTACTCTTTTTCAAATAGTGTGATAAATCTGAAACGCTAAGTTGATCGTAATTGTGAGAGTTGTAGCCATCGACACGACGGCTCCAAGATGTTATAGAGCCATCTTCATGAAGAGTAAACATTAAATTTGGATTGTCTCTACACAAAAGTATCTTTAAAAAATTGCTTTTATTTCTATCCAATACAAGACTACCAAAAAGTTGATTAGTGGTTGAATCGTAAATGAAAATTTCTCTACGCAATACAAAATAGATCAAGTTTTTATTGTAAGGTGAAAACTTCATTTGAATAAAATCTAAATGTTGCTGTTGTTGGGAGTGTGCTGTATTTGATGAAGCTGAACTTGTTGGGGCTGATTGAGAAGAGCTTGATGATAATTGACCTGAAGAAGTTGAATTTAAAATTTGTGTCCACTGAGTTGATAGTTGATTTAAATCACGATTAATTATGGGTGTGGAGTTTTTACTTGAGATACGATATTTGAAATCTAAATGAGGTATAGTGTTGGTTGTTAACTCGTCGATACTATAAATACAACCAAAACTTGTAGCTAAAAAAACTCTAGTAGATTTAAATGGATCAAATTGAATTGAATAACCACTGAAACCATCCGGTATATCACGCTTCCAAATTTTAACACCACTACTAACATTCCAAAGACTAATATAGTTTGTATGTAATGCTAGCAAAAGATCTGGTTCGTCGGGATGCCAACACAAGTCACTGATAGATGATCTATGATTGGATTCGGTATTTGGTAGATACATTAATACATTTGCATCCAAAACACTCCAAATTAAAATATGACCATTAATATCGGCTGATGCTAATCTAATAAGATTATTATGCTGTTGTGCTTGTTGTTGAGCTTGTTGTGATGGTGATGATTGCTGTGACCCTTGTGGTGGTGATTGACTACCAATATTGATTTGTGGATTTGATGATAAATAGGTTGTTGATGACACAGAAATGTCGTTTGACCACTTTACAATGGAAACATTATATCTATGTTCATCTAATGTCTGTAATACTTGCAAATGAAATGGATCAACAATAACAACGTGTGAATAACACCCATAGGCTACTAAATTTTGCCAATGCCAATCAATAGCATTTTTATTATCTTTATTTAATTTACTTGGAAAAATTTTAATTTGTGGTTTATTATTAATAGTTTGTTGAGTATTATTACTGGCCATTTTTAAAATATTTAATACTATATTGTATTATATTATATTATTACTATTGATTTATTATAATAATCTATTTTTCTTTTTAAAAAAGAAAAAAAAATTTTATTTATTTATTTATAATAATCTTTCATAAATAGGAAATAATATTATTTTTTAGATATACAAAATAAAATAAATAAATAATTTTAAAAAATGTTGGGTGTGTAAATATGTGTGTGAGTGTGAATATATATATATATTTATTAAATAAATAAAAAAATAATTTAAAAAAAAATAAAAAAATTTTTTCAAAAAAAAAATAATTAAAAATAATTAAAAAAAATAAAAAAAAAATAAAAAAAATAATTTTTTTTTATTTTAAATATTTACAAATATATAAATTATGTTTACAAAAAAATATTATTTTTGTTATTTTTTTTGGTTGTTATTATTATTTTGTATTAATTGTGCAACTATAGTTTAATTTAAACTTTAAATTTCGAAATTATTTAAATTTTTATTTTTTTAATTTTTTTTTTTTTTTTTGATTTTTTTTTGGTTTTTTGATTTTTTAAAAATTAATTTAGTTTTACATTTTATTTTTGAAAAAAATATAAATATAATGGATAAAAACCAAATTTTAACATATATTCAACAACTATTTCAATATTATTATAAATGTGATGGTGATACCTCACATATAAATACAATAATAGCTTTCATACAAGAGGGTAAATTGAATATAGACACACTACCCCTCTATATTGAATCATTGTCAAAAGATCTTCCAGAATATAAATTAATAAATAAAACACCAGAACATATTAAAAACAAAGCATTATCATCAACAAATAATAATATAATTAATAATACAAATAGTAATAATTTAAATAATAATAATAATAATAATAAAGATCCAGTATCACCAAGAAATAATAATAATAGTTTTAAATATTATAATAAAGATACAAATACATTTAATAAAGAATTAATAAAACAAAATTTAAATAGTGCAACTGTAAAAATATACGTAGATGAATTATATTTAGCATATACAGGTAAATTGGGTGATCCTGCATCTACCCATTATTTAATTAAATCAATCATGGATAATAGTTTATCAGTTCCACAAGCTGAATTACATGTCAAATTTTCAAAAGAAGGTAAATATTTCTATAATATAACTATTATTATAAACAAACATTGTGCTAATACTTTATTATGTATAGCCAAAGCATATTTAGGTCAAGTACAGATAAAAGAGAATAAAAGAAAAAAAGCAGAGGAGTATATTTACGAACTTTTTAAACTATATTTTGGAAAAGATTATTTGGTACCATTAGATGATTTACATTACTTCTCAAGTTTAATCGTTGAAGAACCAAACCCAGATTATCAAGCCATCGAAGATGAAATAAAAGAAAAAGCAATATTAAATGTTGTAATTCCTTCGAAAAAACCATTCAAATAAAGCAGTAGATAAATTAAATAAAGCTATTATTAATAATATTTAGAATATTTATTATAGAGCATATAAATATTTTAAATTTTTATTTTTTAAATAACGATGCGTGTGTATCTTTATTTTTTTTTTATTTTTTTATTTAAATATTTAAAAAAAAAAAGATTTATTTATTTATTTTCTAAATATTTTTACCAATCAATTTTTGGAGCATCTGGGAAATCAGTAGTAATGGTAATTGGAACATTTTTGTTCATTTCTTCTTGTTGAACTTTCCATTCGTTCTTTAAGAATTGAAGAGCGTGGGTACCTAAGAAAACATTCTTTGGTGGTTTTTCCATTTCAGCAACTTGAATAACAACATCGGCGAATCTATATGGATCACCACGAGCATTGTTAACAATATCATCTAACCATTTTGAACGTTCATCAGATTTGTAGTCTGAAAGTTTAACTTTGGCATGTTGCATATTGTCATCAACGAATGAAGTTTTGAAACCTGATGGTGATAATAAAACAACTCTGATACCTAAAGGAGCTAACTCTTGTTCTAAGGTGAAAGTTAAGCCATTGAGGGCATATTTAGTGGCGTTGTAAGCAGAGTATTCAGATACTGTTAACCAACCTAAAACTGATGATACGTTGAAAATAATACCTGATTTTTGTTGTTTGAAATGTGGGATAATATTTTTGCAAACATGGAAAACTGCAAAGAAATTAACATCGAATGCTTTTCTCATTTCTTCTTCTGAGAGCTCTTCACTGTATGTTTTGTTTTGTTTTTGTTTTAATATGAAATTATTAATAATAATATTTTTATAAAATTTATAAAAAAAATATTACTTACACTGAACCAACAATACCAACACCGGCATTATTGACAACTGCATCAATTTTACCGAAATGAGCAATACCCTTTTCAATACTTTCTCTTACACTAACTTCGCTACAGATATCGGTTTTGACGATTAAAATGTCATTTTTTTGTTCAGCTGGGATTTCTTTATCGAGTTTTTCTGGGGTTCTGGTGACAGCAACAACTTTGTGGCCAGTAATTAATAATTTCTTAACAATTGAAAGACCAATACCTGTTGAGGTACCAGTGACATACCATACTTTTTTAGTTGAAATAGAAATTGGTTCCATTATATGCTCTATGTGCAGTTTATGTTGAATAAAAAAAAAAAATGAAAAATTTTTTTATTTTAAAAAAAAAAGTAAAAAATTTTTTTTTTTTTTTTTTTAAAATAATCAATAAAACATCTTAGGAAACTATAATGGGTTGAGATATTAAAAAAACTGAACAATAATTTTTATAATTAATAAAAATTAATAAAAAAAATTTTTTGGGTCACACCAACTCGGTTAAAAAAAAAAAAAAAATTTTGAATTTTTTGCAAGATATTTTTTTTTTTTTGAAAATATTATGTTTTCTTACATTTAAACAACTAAAACTGATATTGATATAATATTATATAAAATAATATTTACAATTAATTAAATAAATGTACATTTATTAATTTAAAATTTTTTTTAATTATATTTTTTAATTATAATTTTTTTTTTTTTTTTATAAATTAATTTATTCCCAATCAATTTTTGGAGCATCTGGGTAATCAGTAGAAATGGTAATTGGAACATTTTTATCCATTTCTTCTCTTTGAATCTTCCATTCACTCTTTACATATTGGATAGCATGGGTACCAAAGAAAACATTCTTTGGTGGATTTTCCATTTCAGCAACTTGAATAACAATGTCATTTAATTTATCTGGATCACCACGACCATTATTGACAATATCATCGGCCCATTTGGTACGTTCTTTAGAATTGTATTCTGAAAGTTGAACTTTGGCATGTTGCATATTGTTATCGACAAAAGGAGTTTTGAAACCTGATGGTGATAATAAAACAACTTTGATACCTAATGGAGCTAATTCTTGTTCTAAGGCGAAAGTTAAAGCATTAAGAGCATGTTTAGTGGCTGTATATGCAGAAAATTCTGATAGTGAGCCCCAACCACAAATTGAGGAGACATTAAAAATAAAACCTGATTTTTGTTGTTTGAAATGTGGGATAATATTTTTACAAATACTGAAAGCAGCAAAGAAATTAACATCGAATGCTTTTCTTATTTCTTCTTCTGAGAGCTCTTCACTGAAATTTTATTTATTAAATCAATTAATAAAAAAATTAAAATTAAATTTTGGATAAAAAATATTTTACTTACACTGCACCAACAATACCAAAACCAGCATTATTAACAACAACATCAATTTTACCAAAATGAGCAATACCCTTTTCAATACTTTCAATGACACTGGCTTCTTTACAGATATCAGCCTTGACAATTAAAACATCAGCTTTTTGTTCTAATGGAATTTCAGCATCTACTTTTTCTGGGGTTCTAGTAACAGCAACAACTTGTTTACCTGAAGCTAATAATTTCTTTACAAGAGAAAGACCAATGCCTGTTGAAGTGCCGGTTACATACCATACTTTTTTATAAGTAGTAGAAATAGGTTCCATTTTATTTATATATATTTATTATTTTTGAATATTAATAATGATTGAAAAAAATTTTAACAAAAAATAAATTAAATAAATAAAAAATTTGTAAAAAATATAAATTAAAAAAAATTACTTTTTTATAAAATGGGGTTGAGAAAAAAAATATTTTAATTTATTCACTTCAATTTTTTTTTTTTAAAAAGTATCTAAATCAATTCAGTGGAAATCAAAGAATTTTTTTTTGTGGTTTTAAAAAAAAAAAATAAATACCACACGTATTTTTTTTTTTTTCTTTTTTTTTTTTTTTTTTTTCTTTAATTTTTTTTTATTTTTTTTTTTTTTAATGTATGATTACAATTCATACCAATTTCATTATCATTTAATGAACTACCAAATTCTTACTTTATTCCTTTTCTACTATACTTTATAAAATTAATTATAATAAAATAATATATTTGTATAAATGAAATATAAAAAAGGAGATGTGTTTATTTTATTATAAAAAAAAAAAATTTTAAAAAAAAAAAACATCCCCCACCCATATTATTTTTTAAAAAATTAATTTTATTTTTTTTTATTTTTTTATTGGGTGGTGTTTCAAATGATTACCAATTGTGATTGTAGCAGATCTGCACTTTTTTGTACAATACAAGGTTTACTTATTTTGGATTTGATCTTTTAAATAAATTAGGAAATAGTTATAGATTAATTAATTAATTTTCAATTATATTTTTTTTTTTTTTTATTTTTATTAAAAAAACTAAAAAGTATTTAAAGAAAATAATTTCATAAAATTTATTTTTCATTTTACACATTCAAGTAAATTCAAGTGAATTGGATCATTCAAGAATATCAATTTTATTGTATTATGATTATAAGGTAAGTATTTTATTGAATCAAAATAATTAAAAATATTATCAAAACATATCGAGGATTTTCTAGCATTAAAACTTATAAAGGATTTTTTAGCATTAAAAGATATTAAGGATTATTTAGAATTAAAAATATCGAGGATTTTCTAGCATTAAAACTTATAAAGGATTTTTTAGAATTTAATTATTATAATTCAACTATAATTTATTTTTTTTATAAAATTTATTATCCTTTTACACATTCAAGAATATACAATTGGATTTGATCAATAATATCAAGATTTATTGTATAATAATTATAAGGTAATTATTTTATTGGATCATTAAAATATGTCAAGTATTGTGTTACATTCAAGAATATCATATTACAGATCATTAAAAATTATCAAGTATTGTGCAACATTCAAAATATAACAAATATTAGGATAATTAAAAATATTATCAAAACATATACAAATATCAACTATTGTGTATCATTAAAATTTATTATGATAATTTAACATTTAAACATATCAAGGATTATTTATTATAAAATAATACCAACTATTAAGCATTTAATTATTATAATTCAACTATAATTTCTTTTTTATTAAATTTATTATCATTATACACATTCAAGTGGATTGGATCATTCAAGAATATCAATATTTATTGTATAATAGTATAAGGTAATTATTTTATTGGATCATTAAAATATGTCCAGTATTGTGTAACATTCAAGAATATCATATATAATGGATCATTAAAAATTATCAAGTATTGTGTATCATCCAAATATATCAAGGATTATTTAACATTAAAACATATGTAGGATTTTTTAGCATTTAATTATTATAATTCAACTATTATTTTTTATAAAATTTATTATAATTATACACATTCAAGTGGATTCGATCATTCAATAATATCAATATTTATTGTATAATGATTATAAGGTTATCATTTTATTGGATCATTAGAACATATCAAATATTGTGTAACATTCAAGAATATTAAATATAATGAATCATTAAAAAATTATTAAGTATAGTGTAATATTCAAAAATATATCAAGTATTATTTTTCATTTAAACATATCAAGTATAATTTATCATTTAAACATATCAAGTTTTATTTACCATTGAAAATATCATGTATTATTTATTATTTAAAAATATCAAATATTATGTAATATTCAATAAATTTTTCAATCAACTATCTTTTATTAAATGATTATATGGTAAGTATAATTTAGAATTAAATAAAATCAAGTATTATATTTTGGATCATACAAAACATCAAGTATTGTTTAGCATTTGAAAAATATCAAGTAACATGGATCATAAAAAAATATTCAGTATTATTTAGAATTAAAAAGTATCGGGTATTATGGATAAATAAAAAATATCAAATATTTTTAGCATTTAAAAAATATCAAGAATAATTTATATATCATTAAAAAAACATCAAATATTATTTAGCTTTTAAAATATCAATGATTATTTAACATTTAAACATATCCAGGATTTTATTTAGAATTAAAAATATCAAGTATTATGGATAATTAAAAAATATCAAATATTATGTAACATAACATTCAAAATTTCAAGTACTATGGATCATAAAATCAACTCTCAATAGGTATTTTGATTACATAGATACTGAGTTGGGCCCACTTGGTATCTATGTTTTTGAAATTTACCTAATTTTCAATGCGGTGGTTAATTGTGTATTCTGCGTGGTGGTATACATAATTAACCACAAATTTTCAATATGGTGTTTAATTATTTATATTGCCTGAAGGTATAAATAATTAACCATTTGACTCTAATATACAAACCCCGTGGTAGAGCTGGAAACACTCTTTACAAAGAGTGGCTAATAGTATAAAAAATAAATAAAATAAATAAGGTATTAATATCATTTTATTATTTTTAAAAATTAATTATAAAATCTCGAATCACTTTATATTTGTATTTATATATTATATAAATTTGATGATTGCTCTTTTATGGTTTCATTTTTATCTGATAAAAATATAGGAAATTAATTTTTAGACTTTTTAGGTGATTAATTATTCGTTGGAAAAAATTAAAAAAATTTTATTAAAATTAAAATTTTTTTTTATTTTTAAAAATTTAAAAATAAAAAAAAAAAAAAACCCTGTCGAAAATTAATAAAAAGGATATAAACATTATGTGTTTCAAAGAAAAATAAATATCCACCTAATAATTTTTTTAAAACTAAAAAAAAAACTATTTAAATTTTTTTTATTATTTTATTTGATCATTTTTATATTTTGAATTATATATATAATGGTTATTAATATTAAAGAAAAAAGAATAGTAATTATAGGTGGTGGTCCAGGTGGTTTATCTTTGGCAAGAATGTTACAACTCAAAGGTTGTGAAAATGTTATGGTAGTCGAAAGAGATATAGACCGCAGTGTTAGAATCCCAGGAGGTACATTAGACTTGCATCCATACAGTGGTTTACATTTTATCAAGGAAGCAAAATTGGAAAATGAATTTAAACAGCTATCAAGACCTGAAGGCGCAAGTTTTACATTGACCGATAGAAATGGTAATTTTAAACTCAGATGTCCACATTTAAAGATCTCAGCACTAAAACCAGAAATAGATAGAGGGGTATTACGTGACCTTTTAATCGACTCTTTAACTCCCGAGACTGTACAGTGGGACCATCATTTTAAAACCCTAAAGAAATTAGAGGATGATACAATAGAAATCGAATTCAAGAACGGTAAAAAAATAATTGCAGATGTAGTTATAGGTGCAGATGGTGCAAATTCAAAGATAAGGCCATTTGTTAACGAAAAATTGAAACCAATATATTCAGGTGTCACTATTGTCGAATGCGAAGTTAACGACCCAAATGAAACATGTAGCGAAGCAGTAACATTGGTCGACCATGGCACCTATTCAGCAATAGACAATGGAAAAGCTTTTATGCTGCAAATGAAAGGAGATGGAACTCTTGTTGTATATTGCGCAATGAAAAAACCAGAGTTTTGGCATAAAGAAATAGATTTCAATAATAGAGAACAAGTTTTAAATATTTTAAAGAATGAAGAAATACCAGATTGGAACCCAATTTATCATAAGGTACTTGATAATATTTCATCAAAGTTTATACCCAGACCATTATATACAATTCCTTGTACCAAAGAACATCTATCCAACTCTGATAATCAACCATGGACCACCGAAGCACCTATAACATTAATTGGGGATGCTGCACATGTAATAGTACCTTTCCAAGGAGCTGGTGTAAATATGGCTTTAATGGATGCAGTAGAGTTATCAGAATCACTAGTGAACCCACCCAAAAGCGATAGCTCAATTATAGAAAGATTAAACCAATACGAATTAAAAATGCAAAAAAGAATGTCAAAGGAAGCAATTGAAAGCATGGAAGCAATGGAATTATTCACATACGATACAAATGCCCCAGATCAAGCTATTAGTTTTTTCTTTGGGAAATTTAAATTTTTGGTTCCAATTTTACCATTATTTATAAACTTTATAAATTATTTTACTGATTTATTTGGTTTTACTAAGTAAAAAAATAAATAAATAAATTTTTTTATCTAAATAAAGTAATAATAATCACACACTTATCCAAATTATTTTTAGATTTTTTTATGAAAAATAATTGTTTAATTTTTTAAATAATTAAAAAAAAAAATTAATTTTTTTTTATTTTTTTTAAATTTTTATTATTTTTTTATTTTTTCGTTTTTATAATTATTTAATTTTTTAATTCACAAATAAACAATAATAACTATGAATCAATTAATTAAAAATAATAGTAAAACTATATTATTAGGTATTTCAAGTGGAATATCTTTATTTATTATAAATGGTGGTTTAGGAATTTTTAAGAATATCAGTAATTATATTTTAAATTGTATCAACGAAAAGATATACTATCAAATCGATGTAGACAGTAAAGATAAATCATTCGAATGGTTATTATATTGGTTATCAGAGCATGAATCAGTTAAAGACTCAACCCATTTAAATGCAGAGACAGTTTATAATAATATTGGAAAAAACCCAAAAGTTATTTTGGTTCCTTCTGTAGGCCAACATACTATTAAATATAAAGGAAAGACTATTTGGATCAGTCGTATCAGAGATTCAACCTTTGATATGGGTAGTGGTGCACCATTCGAGTCTATCAAACTATCAACACTAATCAACAATAGTTCAGCTGTCAACGAATTACTTCAAGAGGCAATGTTATTGTCCCTCAACAAGGATATTGGTAAAACTGTAATCTATATAAACTCTGAAGGCTCATGGGAAAGATTCGGTAATCCAAGATCCATCAGATCATTAGACAGCGTCATCTTGAACAATAATTTAAAACAACAACTTTTAGACGACATTAAATCATTTATTACCAACGAATCATGGTATCGTAATAGAGGTATCCCATACCGTCGTGGTTATTTATTATATGGCGAGCCAGGTAATGGTAAAAGCTCTTTAATCAATGCTATCGCCGGTGCCTTGAATTTAGATATCTGCATTGTATCACTCTCTCAAAAAGAAGTCGACGATAGACAAATCAACCATTTACTTAACAATGCTCCACCAAAATCGATTCTCTTAATCGAAGATATCGATGCTGCATTCAAATCACATAGAAGCCAAGTAGATTTAGATAGCACCAATTCAAACCAAATCAACTCTCTCACCTACTCTGGTCTCTTAAATGCATTAGACGGTGTAGCATCCCAAGAAGGCAGAATTTTATTCATGACCACCAACAGAATTGAGTTATTAGATAATGCTTTAATTCGTGAAGGTAGAGTCGACATGAAAATAGAAATTACCAACGCAACCAAAGAACAAGCATCCCAACTATTCTCTCATTTCTACAACTTGCCACAAGACAGTCCATTATCCAATCAATTCTCATCCAATTTTGCAAACTATCAATTATCAATGTCACAAATCCAAGGTTTCTTATTAAAATATATTAATTGTCCAGAAAAAGCAATTGAAGAATCTTATAAATTATTACCAGTTAATTTAAGTTAAATAAATAAAATAAAATAAACTATTCAATAAACCTTTTTTTTAAATTTCTTTTTTTATTATTTTAATTTTTTATTCTAATAATCTTCTCTATTTTTACCTTCAAAAAAACCTTCTTCTTCCAACTCTGCATATACTTTTTTAATTATTGGATCTTCATTAGCTCTATTATTTTTACGTGATTGTCTATCTTTTTTAATTTTTTCTAAAATTTCAAGATGTTCTAATTTCTTTTTAACTTGTTGATTTAAATTTACACCAATTGGTTGAATTCTACCTATAAAAATTAAAAATTAAATTTTATTATTAGAGTATGTTATTTTATTGTGTGTTTATTTTATTTATTTAAATAATATATATATATACCTGTTCTTTGCTGTGCTGGTTTTTGGCAAAGTCTAATTAAATTTCTTGAAAACATTTTTTTATAGATTTATTTATTTATTTAATTTATAGATCTGAAATATATATATTGGGTTTTATTTATTTATTGGAAAATTATTTAAATTATTTATTTTCTTTATTTCTATTTACAATGCTTAATTTACAACTGATTAAATAATTTAATAAAAAAAAATAAAAAAATAAATTTTAAAAAACGAAAAAAAAAAAAATAAAAATTGTTTTTTTTTTTAATTTTTTTTTATTTTTATTTTTTAATATTTATAAATACAATTTATTAAATCATTGTCATTAGTAAAGCATACTTTTATATTCTATCAATACACATCTATTTAATTAATAAATATATCTATAGTTTTGAAATCAAAATAAAATGAGCGATACAGAGTTTGTTGAAGATAATCAAATGGAAGATAATGAAGATGATTTAAATTCTGAAGATTTAGAAGAGGCAGAAGAAAGAGAAAGAAATTATGAACAATACTTATTATTAAACGATCCATCAAAATGTAATTATTACTATTCCATTATTATTATTATTTTCTAAAATTAATTTTTAAAAAAATATTAATAAAATATTTAAATTAAATTTATAAATAGATACTTATTTAAGAAGAGTTGTACAAAGACCACAAACTAAAAAAAACGAAATCTATTTATCAAATAATGGTAAATTTTTATATTATATAAAGAGAGCAAAAAAACTATTAATTGATGAAAAGTAATTTTAGTGATACTATAATAATTAATAATAATAATAATCAATAATAATTAATAGTAATAATTGATTGAAAAAAGAATATAAAAAAAACATACAATATAATATATTTATATATATTAATACATATACATCTATTACAGAGAAAAAGAAATTATTATACATGGATTAGGTGCAGCAATTCCATTAGCAGTTAATTTATCACTTCAATTACAAAAAGATATTCAGGATCTAGTTTTATCACCAACAACATCATCAGAAGAAATTATAGATCAATATGACCCATTAACAGATGATTTAGAACCAGTTTTAAAAATCAGACATGCTTCAGCAATTCATATTAAAATTATAAATAAAACTGAAGATCCTATCCCGTCCGAATCATTCAATAAAACCATTACATTTAAATCTAATAAAAGCAAATCAAAAATTAATAATAGAATCGATAAAAAGAGTACCACAACAACAACAACAAAAACAACAACAACAACTACCGATAATAATAAATAGTAATAAATAAAAAAACAAATTATAATAATATATATTATAGTTTTATTTATAAATATAAAAGATATATTTATTAATTTAAAAACCTAACAGAATCAATTATTAATGGATTTACAATATCCGAAGGAATTCAGGTCGAATATTGATTGTGTATTTTTAATGTTGTTACATCTTTTTCTATTTTGAGTGAAAACTATTCGCTAATGAGATGTAGTTCGACTAATGATTCTGGGAGATCTTGTGGTTTAATTGGTTGATAATAAAGGACTAATGATAGTGATTCTAAAGTATGAGGAAGAGAAACACCGGTTGATTATAGTGGTATCCTAAATGAAGTGTTTTGCATGATTCTGGAATGATTCCTTTATTTAGTGGTTGATCAACCAAGTAAAGGCCACATTCTAAATGGGTAACACTAGATAGTATGTCACCAACAAAAGAGGGAAATATAACATAGATAAATATAAAGTTTTTATTGAACTTGGTAAAATATTAATAATTCATGTACATCATTACCACTGCTACTACTACTATTGTCGTTGTCTTTATAAAATAATCTTGTTAAAAAAATATGTCATTTTAATATCTAGTATTAAAACATAAAATACATGATTATTAAATAAAAATTTTAAAAAAAAAAAAGAAAAAAATAAAGCCAAAAATTTTTTTTTATTTTCAAGTTTATTTTTTTAATTTTGTATACCTCAACCAAAACAATAATTACAAATAAAAATTTCACCCTTTTTACAAACATATTATTTTTTTAAATTAAAAAACTTAATTATTTTATAAATAATAAATATGGAAAAATATATATATTGGGCAAGGGTTAGTTAAAAATAAATACATCAATATAAAAATTAACCACACTCTTCATAGAATCAAAAAATAAAAATTCAGGATTTCAAATAAATTAATAAATAAATAATAATAATAATAAAAACAATTATTACTTTTAAAAGAATAAATAAATAAACTGTTCTTTTTATATTATATTTCCCAAGATTTAAAATATTATTATTTTTTTTTTTTTTAATTTTTTTTGTAATTTTTTTTTTTTAATTTTTTTTTGTGTTCACTCTCCTTAATTTTTTTTTTTTAATTATTTTTTTTTTTTCACCCAAACATTAATAATAATAATTATTTTACCACATAAATAAAAAATGTTATATATTAAAAAAAATACCTTTTTTAAATTTAAAAAACCATACTATAAAATATGTTTTGACTATTTAGATTTTTTAATTTACGAAAAAAAGGAAACATTAAGAAATAATAGATTAAATAATATAAATAATAATGATATTATAAGAAATATTAGAACATTAAGAAAAATACAAAAAGTTGTAAAATCTTATCTATTCTTACAAAAAAAAATTAATAGATCATTTTCTATAACCCAACCAGTACAACCACCCCAAAATAACACTTCATTAGCAATAACCTCAGTAAATAATGATCAATTTTTGTATTACAATTTAGATAACAGTAAAAAATTTTTTGAAAAGGATATCTTTTCTTTTCTTTTAAAACAAAATGGTTTAAAACAACATTTATTATTACCACCTCCAGAAGTACAATCATCTCGTTTTCCATTGTATATACCATTATCACTATTATCAATATCATCATCTCGTTCATCATCTCATGTTCCATTGTGTATGCCATCTAAACCATTGCTTTTAACCCAAAATAAATCATCACTTATACCATCATCAAATCTACTTTCATCAAAGCCACTAGTACCAAGATTATCGTTACCAGCAGCCCAAGATGAATCATGCAAAAAAATTAATACATCATTGCCATTAAACTACTCTAACTATAAAATAAAGAGTAAAGAACTTACATTTCCAGAAAATGTTAATCATAGTGGTGGTTTTGCTAAAGTAGAAAAAGCTAAATGGAGAGAAATTGATGTTGCAACCAAAGTTATTACAATTGATAAAGATTATAAAGGAAAAAATAAACAAGAATTATTTGAACAAGAAGTTTCAATGAACTATATCCTCAGACATCCAAACATTGTCCAGTTCCTCGGTGTAGTCATGAAAAGTAGAACCATGGTTATGGAATATATGAATGGTGGTACTCTTAGAGAGTTATTAAGTCAAAGAAATGTTTTAAACTCCTTCGAAGAAAATCCAATGCTCCCTTTAAAGATTGCAATGGATATTGCTTTGGCTTTGTTATATTTACATAAATCCTCAATTCTACATAGAGACCTAACATCGTCCAATGTTTTACTCCAAAATCCACTTGATTTAGAAAATGGTAAACCAGTGGATTATAGAAATTGTAAATCCAAAATATCAGACTTTGGAATTAGTAAAGTTAAAAATGGAAGCTCAACTCCAAGAGTAGGCAATGTATCCCACATGGCCCCAGAGGTCTATCAAAGTAAACCATACACCGAAGCCTCTGATGTTTTTTCTTATGGTATCATTCTTTGGGAACTTATAACCAGCAATGTCCATCTCCATGAAACCCAAAACAAACTATCACAATTAGAACTTAGTCCCTTGGCCACACCAAAATGGAAAAAATTAATTGCTGATTGTCTTGAAGAATCTCCAGATAAAAGACCAACTATCGAAAAAATCATTACTGAATTAAAAAATATTAGAAATGATTTGGACCCAAAAGAAAACAGAAACGAACTCAATAATAATAATTATGATAATATTGTTATAAACACCACTTCAACAACCAATGATAATAATAACAATGATTTTCAAAACTATATTAAAGTTTAAAGAAATCAAATAGGAAAATACTACAAAAGCTGTAAAAACAAATTAAATACCAATATATTATGTATTATATAATTGAAATCAATAATAACAATAATTATAATAATAATAATAACTATTTTTAAATAATTTATAAGAAATATTTTTTTTAAGGTTCAACAAGGGAACCAAATTCACACACAATCAATTACAATAAATGATTAATATTTCATAATTTTTGAAAGATTTTTTTTTAAGATATTTTTTCCATTTTTTTTCTTTAAACCCCCACAATATCAAGAAACATACTATTACTGTGAAATTTTTTTTTTTTTATAAAAAAAAAAATTTAAATAAAAATTAAAAATTTTTTTAATTTTATTTAATATTTTTTTTTTTTTTGTTTTCTTTTTTTTTTTTTTTTTTTATTATTGTACACCTACAAAAATATATTATTTATTTTTATTTATTTATTTCTTTATTTATTGTTTGTTAGTTTATTTTTGTGTGTATTTTAAATAATTATTGTAAGTTGTTTTGTTTTTTTTTGGGGCCTGAACTAAAATTTTAAAAAAAAATAAAATGTCAAATAATATATTCGAACAATGTACATTTTTTCTTTCACAAGTCACCAGTAAACCAACTATTAGCAAAATAATAAAAGATAATGGAGGTTCAATAGTATTTATGCTCACTAATAAAGTTACTCACTTTGTAACAAACGATAAAGAGTTTCAACTTTCACCTTATAATGTAAAGAAAGCACTAGGATTCGAAAATACCTTTGTTGTTTCAGAAGAGTTTATTAATGAATCTGTTAAAGAAGGTAAAAAATTAGAAGAATCAAATTTCACTTTTACAGCAAATCCAAAACCAAAACAATTTTCATTCTTTGATTCACCAGCCAAATCATCACCAATTAAATCTGAATCATCATCATCTTATTCATCAATACCTTTATCATCATTTTCATCATTAGCTATCAGCAATGAAAGTGAAAAACCCTCTTCATCTTTAATATCAAAACCTTCATCAGATCCCAAAAAAAGAACCCGAAGAGTAGAAACTACCTCTTACACCAAACCACTCGAAACATCAGTTACTGTTCCATCTCCATTTTCATCAGTTTTTAAAAAAGAAATCGAAATTAAAAAGAACCCAAATAAAGTATCAGCAAAACTATATGATCTTAATGCTAAAGATCAACCAGACTTTAATTCAAATTCATTCGAAGTTTTACTTTACAGAACTCTTCAAGTAAGTTATAATTAATTAATTAATCAATTTTAAATATATTAAAATATTAATTTTCTAAAATTTTTTTTTTTTTTTCATTAGTTTTCAAGTTTTTCTGGTAGTTCATCAAATAATAAATTTTATTATTTAGAAATTCAAAAAGATATTAACTCTATACATCGTGTTTACACAAGCTATGGTGTATGTATAAAAAAAATAATTACAATTAATTTTTAAATTCTAATTATTACCAAATTTTTCTTTTATCGCAAAATTTTAGAGATCAGATGGTAAAAAAACTAATGAAGTTAGATATGCAAAAGATTTAGAAGAAGCAATTGATATTTTCTCCACTATCTATAATGAAAAGACTAGTGATAAGAAAGGGTATAAAGAAGTTAGCTTGTCATCATCCTCAGTATCGTCTAAATCAGAATCAGCATCATTTTTAATTAATTCATCAAGCAATTCAACTTTACAACCTGCAATTACTAAATTAATTGAACATTTATATAGTGAAGCAACTACTCAATTATCCAATTCAAATACAGTTAAAATTACTGAGCGTGGTCTCGAAACACCACTTGGAGTTTTATCATTGGATCAAATCGAAAAAGGTGAAAAGGTATTATACAAAATCAAAGATTTAATTAACAATGTTTCCAAAGTTGGTGGAGACTATCAAACCCTTTCTTCAGAATTTTATACTTGTATTCCACATTCAATGGGTCGTGGTAAGAGTGCTACCGATGCAGTTATCAAAACATTAAGTCAATTGAATATGAAATTCGAATTACTTCAATTAATGAAAGATCTTTTGGTTATCAAAGATGCTGGTTCCACTTTGGGTAGTGGTACAAGTGCATCCGATATGAAATACTTTGCATTAAAAAACAAGATCTCAGTTCTCTCATCTTTCGATCAAGATAGTGTTACTATTAAAAAAATGGCTGCAGAAACTAAAGGTGTTAAAATTTTAAATATCTATCGTTTAGACAGAGAAGGTGAAACCTCATCGATTAATCTTTCACCATCACCAACCAAACTTTTACTTCATGGATCAAGACCATCCAATATCGTTGGTATTCTTTCTCGTGGTATGTTACTCCCAAAAGTTATCACCGAAACTGGTGTCGCCAATCGTACCGATTTTGGTTTCCTTGGTTATGGTATCTACTATGGCAGTGGTTTTGATACTACTTGTAAATATGCTCATCCATCCCTCACCGGGGGAGATTCAAAGAGATACGCTATTGTTTCTCGTGTTGCACTTGGTAGAACTAAAGAATTTACCCAAATAAACTCAAAACTTACCGAGCCACCAACCGGTTTTGACAGTTGTTTGGGTTTAAAGAATACAACAACTCAAAAATCTGATTTCCATGATGACGAATATGTAATCTATGACTCAAAGAGACAAAGACAAGAATATCTTGTTGAATTTACTTATGATGGCTCTAATAAAGGGGATGCTCCATCTACTTTTGCAACCTCATCTTTTTCAACCTCATTATCCACCCCATCCTTTGTAACACCAAAAACAACACAAACCCCAATTTCAAAATCACCATCACCTTTGCATGTTGCCACTAGCCAACCACCTTTAATTAAAACCACAAAAACACCAACATCATTTATTTCAGATTTCGAGAAATTATCAGTTTCAGTTGGCAACGAAGAGTCACAAGAATACGAATCAAAGGAAGATGAATATAGAAAAATGTTTGTCAATGATAGAAATAATCCAAAACTTTCAAATAAATTTTTAAATTGTGAAAAAGTTTTTGAATCTGTAAAGTCCAAATCACCAGAGAAACCAATCGATGCCAATTATATTATGGGATATAACATGACCAAAAAAGAATTTGTTAGTTCTCAAAGTGAATTTGATAAACAATGGAATAAGTTTTCAAATAACTTTTTCCAAGGATTTAATTGGAATAATGTCTTTGTTGCTGGTGGTTCGGTTTTAGGTTGTTCGTTAGCCAATCAAGATCCACTCTATTACACAAAGTCGGATATCGATATTTTCCTCTATGGTATTAGCGAATCCGAAGCAAATAGAAAACTTGACGAAATCGAACAATTTATAAAGAACAAATCACCAAGATCCCAAATGGCCCGTACTAAATATGCTGTTACATTTTTAAATGACTCACCATTTAGAAATATTCAAATTATTCTTCGTATTTATAAAACACCAGCCGAAGTTTTAATGGGCTTTGATATTGACTGTTGTTCAATTGGTTATGATGGTTCAAATGTCTATGCTATTCCAAGAGCCATTAATTCAATTACCCAGGGTTACAATACTGTTGCTATGAGCAGAAGAAGTTTAACCTATGAGGCTCGTCTCTTTAAATATGCTCTTCGTGGTTTTGCTATCAAAGTACCAGGCCTAAAAAGATCCAGCATTCCAAGTAGTGCTTATAATAATGATATCAAAGGTTCCTCTGGTTTATTGAAACTCTTACTCTTAGAACATAAATATACCGTCAACAAAGGCGCTATTCAATTCTTCATGAACAATAGTGGCTCAGACTACAACTCTATCGATATTCCAAATGGTCCTTGTTTGACTGTTTCAGGTGCTGTTAGTTATATTAACTACAAAGAAAAGAGTCAATTCTTTGCTAAAAAGAAAGAAGGTTTCAAGCATTGCCATTTAGTAGTAGTTGGTGAACATGCCAAAGAAGGTAAAGCCAATTGGTGCAAGAAATGTAAAGAAGGCCAAAAACCACAAGAAAGTAAATCACAAGATGTTGTTGTTGGTCCAATTCAATGGGTTACTGAAAATCCAGGCAGTCAATTATTAACAGGTTCATTCCATCCAGTAGATGACAACAAATGGTTTAACATTACTGAATCAACCAAAACCATTTCTCACTATAAAGAATTAATTTTACTTAATCAAGATGTTAGCGATATCCCCGATTTCTCACCAAAAAATGGTTTATCCTCTAAACTCGCAATAGATTCAAATCATCTCTTATGTATTGCAGCTTCCTATGGTTCAAATGTCAGTATGAAATCAATGATGCCAGTTTACAAACAATACATCAACACTCCTGATGAATTTTCATACTACCCAATTCATTATGCTGTAAAGAGTGGTAATATGGAATGTATCAACATTTTATTAGAAAATAATTGCTGTGTTCCAGTTCGTTCAGGTGACTACGGTCTTACTGCTGCTAACATTGCTCATTGGTTTGGTGCATCAAAAGAGTACAATCTTCTTTACTCTAAATGCCCAAGAATTGTCAATGTAAAAAGCAGGGCTTACTCCTTCAAATCATTAAAAAAATGGATATCTTTCCCAAGTGTTCATTCAGTTCAACCATCACCCACCTCAACAATTTTAGAAGCAAAACCAGAAAATATTTGGAGTGCTATTCTTGACGGTAACGTCACAGTTGTTTCAAACATCTTAAGTTTACCAACTTTCAAAGAAACTACCGACCCACTTGGCAACTCATTTTTCCATTACGCAATTCTTTCATCATTACCAAAAGAAATGTTTACTCTCTTAAAAAATAAAGGTTACGATACAAATAGATCCAATATATTCAATCAAACCTATCTTGATTTTGCCAAAGCTATTTCAGGTAATATTAGAACTTGGGTAAGAACTCCTACAAACTTTATGGGTCTTCCAAACTTTGTCAAGTTAACCCCATTATATTTGGTTAAACAAATAGAAGAGTTGGCAAAAAAAGCCACTCACCAACCAATTCCAAGCTCGAGTATACCAATTGAATATATTTTAAATTTCTCCAAACAACCAACTCCAAATATACCAACTGGACTTACCAATTTCTCTAGTGTTGTTAATAATAACAATGTATTACCACCAATGCCAACATTTGGTTTTGGTGGCAAGTTCGCACCACAACCATCTCAAATAAAACCAGCAACTAAATATGGTTTTGGCAGTAACAATAACAATCAAATTCCACTTAGTGATTTTGTTATGGTTCCAAATTCACCAACACTATCACCAACAGGCCTCAGAATGCACAGCATACCAAATCCATCTCAATTACAAAGTCAACTTATTGGTAAATCAACAGAGCAAATTTCTCTTGCTTTATCAACTCCAAAGAATGTTGATATTCACTCAAAAGAATTTTTGGAATCCTCACGTGTTGCTCAAATTTTAGTATTAATAGAACTACTTAAAAGTCGTTTTACCGCTAATGAAATTTTAACAATCAAACGTTTATTATTAGAATTACATTTACCAGTTTTCAATTGCTTTGAGGCTTATTTATTAAACCAAAATTTAGATTCATTAATACAAAATCTTCATTTAGTATTGGAAGTTTCAAAACAATAATTTTAAAAAAACAAAAAAAATCTATATATAAATTTTTCTATAAAACTTAATTAATTTTTAGTTTTAAAATAAATTAATAAAATTACATCATAATATTTTTAATTAAAAAAAAAAAAAAAAAAAAATATTCATAAACATGATATTTTGATGATTGTGATTAAAATTATATTAAAATTTTTATTTGATGAAACACAAACAAGATTTTTTTTGATTAATTATTAAAAAAGTTTCTTTTCTTTGTTTTTTTTTTTAAAATTTTTAAATTCAAAAAAGGAAATTATTTTATATCTTTATTCAAAAAGATTAATAAAATAGAAAAAAAGTCTTTGTTCATCCTAATACCACCACCCCAATTCAAATAATAATAAATAAAAGTAGTGAGAGCAAATATGTAAGTGGGGTGTATGTTAATATCTTTTGTTTGTGGTTGGTGTTTATATGTTCTCTTTTTTTGTTTTTTTAATAAATAATAAATCAATAAATATATATAATTTTTGTGTTTTGTTGTTGTTAAAATACCACAAAAAGATATTCATTTTAACTGACAATATTATTTATTGTATATTTGATTAACTAATTAGTAGTTGGTAATATTTATTAAAATAATTTTATTGGGTCAGTTATACAATCTTATTTTTTTTAATAATATAATATGTGAGATACAATATAAACCTCTCTCTTTCAATCAAATAATCCACACTCACACACATTTTTACTCATTAAAAAAAAAAAAGGTGAAGGAGGGTGTAATTTATTTAGTATGTATTAACCCCATTCAATTTTAAAAAAAAATAAAAAAAATATAGATCATGTGCTTTTATTTTTTTTGTTTATAATAATGAAATATAATCATATCATAAACAAGATTTAATGTGTGGAAAATATTAAAAAAAAAATGTTTTTATATATAATTGTTTTATCTCATATAACTTCAAAAATAATTAAAAAAAAAAAAAAAAAATAAAAAAAAACCACACACTCACTACCCCACACTCCCACACACACTCCCACACAAGTATCACACAAAAATCATAAATTTTTATATAAATATGTGCAAAAAAAAATAAAAAAAAATAAGGAAAAAAAAACAAGATTATGATCTTTTTCTTTTTCTTTCTTTATTTTTTTTTTTTTTTATTATTATTATTTTTTTTTTTTAACCATTATTTTTATTATATTTATATTAAAATAATAACATAATATTATTTTTATTTGTTTTAATACATAATAGCACAAAAAATAACAATACCACTATCAATAACCAACCAGCAATAATAAATAATTATTTTTATCTTTTATTTATATATACTACATATAATTTATTCTAATTTATTTATTTGAAATAGAGAAAAGGACCATTTTTAATCACCCTTTTTTATAAAACTATCTAATAATTTTTTATTTAAAATTTTTTAATTATAATTAAATATTTGATTAAATTTAAAATCAAAAAAAAAAAAATTTCATATATTTAATTTTTTTTTTGATTTTGTTGTATTTTTATTTGTAAATTATTTTTTTTATTTATTTATTTATTTATTTATTTATTTATTATTTATTTATTTATTTATTTTTGTATAATATATTTATTATAAATTCCTTTTTTTCGGAATAAAGTTTTTATTTATTTTGTATAAAAATATATGTTTTATATTTTAAAATTATAATTTGTATAATATGTATAAAAAAAAATGACCAATAATCAAAGCAATATCAATAATAATAATAATAATCAACATATAAATGATTATAATAACGATACTATAATTACTTTGGAATCAGATTTTAATAATTTTTGTATTTCAGATTCCCCAACTTGTGATAATAATAATAATAATAATAATAATAATAATAATAATAATAATAATAATAATAATAATATTATTAATAATATTAATAATAATATTGATAATAATATTAATAATAATTGTACAATAGAAAATCAAAATGATTATAATAACGAAATTGAAAAAATAATTGATGAAAATAAAAATATTGATATAATTCAATACCAACCAAAAAACTCAATCATTGAACAAACAATAATAGATGATTTTCATAGAAAGAGTATAAGATTAATAGATACACAATTTATAAAAAATAAAAACCCTCATAAATTTCAACAACAACAAATTCTAAATCAACAAAAACAACAATTTTACCAAAAACATCAACAACAATTACAACAACAACAACACCAACAATTACAACAACAAAAAAACTCTTATTACATTGATGACCCCCACAATCTCCACAAAAAAAAATTTAAAAAAAATGTAGAATCATTATGTGGCCCAATAATTTTACAAAACATTGTATTATATTCATTTTTTTTAATTATTATCGGTTCAGCTGAGGGCACATCTTGGGCACCTGAAATAAGAGTTGCTAATTTCGTTCCATGTAAGTAATAAAAACAATTATAATAATATTTTTAATTATTCTCATTTATATTAATAATTTTTCATTTTTAATAGATTGTGTAATGTGTATAGTTTTATTAGAAATAAATAGACTTCATAGAAAACCATTATTTAGAATTATTTTCCCCCTATATACCTCTAATGTTCCATTTGCATATATGTGTATTTTTTCAAGAGAAGCTCGTAAGTATAAAAAAAAAAAAAAAATTATTATAAAAATTTTTATTAATTATTTTTATAATATAGATGTCTTAATATCATTACTATTTTTTTCCAGTTGTCTATGTATATTTTTACAAAGTGGTATACCAGATTTAAGAAAACATATTTTAATATTTTGTGTAATATTTATGATCAATTACGGATGTTGTATTTTATTTATGGAATGGTTTTATATCGATACTACAGGAAGACAAGCTTATAGAGGCCGTGTTTTAAATCCAAGAATCCATTGGGGGGAAGAGGCAACAATATTAGTTAGTATGGCACTTTTAGGTTGTACCTTTATTGTTTTAGAAAGATTCATCAAGTCCTATGCAAAATGTGTCGCTGAACAACACTATCAAATCCAATGTTTAGAAAAAGAAAAAGAAAAATTAGAAAGTGAAATGAAACAAATCACATTAAAAAAAGTTGATTTAGATACACCAATCGAAAAAATAATGGATATTTTAAGATCAATGATTAATACATCGGGTATGTTTAATTATTCATATACAATAACCTATAAAATATACTAATATTATTTTATTTTTATAGAAAGTGAAAATGATAAAAGACAACTAATTAAAGTAATAGCAGTATTAGGTTCTAACAAACTATATGACCCAGATTTTAATTTTGAAACAAGTACAGATGATGCAGAAGTATATAATTGGTTGCAATCTATGTTAAATAGAGATGTTTCAAATACAAACAATAACGATAACCAATATCCAATCAATCTATGTTTACCATCTCCACCATTGACCCCAGTTTTATATAAGAATACCAACAAATTAAGTTCAAGTGGAATGATATTAAGAAGACTAAACCCAGAGATTTCGGTTTCAAACCAAGAGGTTCAAAATTTAATTGGTAACAACTATTTATCTTGGGATTTCCCTGTATTTAGACTATGTGAGATGACCAATGGCAATCCACTATTCTTCATGTCGTACTTTTTATTCTGCCGTCACAAATTCTTTGATAAATATAACATCAGTATGGATGTTTTCAAGTGCTTCATGAGAAAAATCGAAGAAGGATATGATTCAAATAACCCATACCACAACTCCACACATGCAACCGACGTTTTACAAAACCTTAACTTTTTCATCGAGAAATCAATTCGTAGATATTTAACCGAAATTGAATTTTTTTCAATGATATTAGCCGCAATAGTCCACGATTTTAAACATCCTGGTGTAAACAATCATTTCCAAATCAATTCAAAATCAAGATTAGCTCTCAAATATAACGATCGTTCAATATTAGAAAACTATCATCTCCATCAAGCATTCAAAATTATGAATGAAAAGGAATCCGGAATTCTTCATAGCTTTAGTGATTCAGTAAGAAAAGAAATTAGAGAAACAATCATTTCATTAGTACTCTCAACAGATATGGCAAACCATTTCGATTTGGTTGGTCGTTTCAAAAGCAAGATTAGTAGTGGAGGTAGTGGTTCATTTATTGGATGTAGCAAAAACGATAGATTGTTACTAATGCAAATTGCAATCAAATGTGCTGATGTTTCCAATCCATCTAAACCTTGGAATCTATACACTGAATGGGCACAAAGAGTAATGGAAGAATTTTACAAACAAGGTGATGAGGAAAGACAAAGAAATATGGATATCTCTGCCTTTATGGATAGAAACAAACCTGCAACCACCAAATGTCAGGTAAGCTTTATCAATTTATTTGTAGAACCAATATATGAAATTTGGTCTTCAGTATTCCCTGAATTTAAAGGTTGTCATCAAAATATTATATCAACAAAACCAGATGGGAGATTGAAAATCCAATATTAAACTCTACAAATAATAGTATAAGTTTATCGCATTCATTCATCTCAATAGTATAAAAAGATAACCCAATTCATAATTTATGAAAATATTTATATATTTAAGTATATATAGTTTTAATTAATTTATATATAAATAAAAAAACTAAAAAAAAAAAAATAAATATTAAAAATTAACATTTTTTTATTTATATATTATTTTTTCTATATTAATAAATAAAACAAAGATAGTCAAAATGAAGCTTACAATTTACTAGATTTTTAAATAATTATCAAGAACAACACCCAATAGATAGTGAAGAGGGATTCAATTATAAAAATATAATAGAAAAAAACAATGTTTAAATTTAAAAAAAACAATGTTCAATTTTTAAAAAAAAACAATGTTCAAATTTAAAAAAAAAACAATTTTTAAATTTAAAAAAAAAACAATGTTTAAATTTAAAAAAAAAAACAATGTTGAATTTAAAAAAAAAATAATGTTTAAATTTTAAAAAAACAATGTTTTAACTTTGAGTAACGTTATTCAAAGTTTAAACAATGTTGAATTTAAAAAAAAAAAAACCAATGTTTAAAATTAAATAGCGTTTTAATTTAAAAAAAAAATTATTTTTAATTTAAACTATCTTCATTATTCATATTGTTAATTAGTTTTTAAAACATATATTCATAACAGCACTTCACATCTTTATTTATTTTAAAATTGAATATAAAAATAAAAAATAATTAAAATATATAAAAATAAAACCTAAACAGTTAATAAAGTAAAATGACAAAATACTCTTATATTTTATCTCTTTTTATTTATTACTTAATTCATTTTTACATTACTTTGTTCGTAATAAAACTTTATATATAATCCCATTTACTAAAAAGTAAAAATAAAAAAAGATTAAAGGTCAATTTAAAAATATTTGTACTTTTATATAAATTTTTATTTTGTTATTATACTAATAAATTTTTTATTGATATTTATGTTTTATTTTATTTTTATATTGTTAAATTAATCAAAAAAAAAAAAATTTTAAAATATTTATTTAGTAGGATTGTTGTGAAGCTAATAATCAATTAATTTTATCTTGTATTACAAAATTGTGATTTTAGACAATATTGTTGAAAATAGACCTATTATACTATACTATTTAATTGATTTATCAATATCATATAAAAATACATATCTATATAGGTTTTTTTTTAAACACACCCACTTCCAAAAAAAAAAAACTTACTTTCATAATAGATCTTTAAAATAACCCACTAAATAATACACACACACTAAAATTAAATTAAATTGTAGTTTTCTTTTGATGATGAAAATATATAAATAAAAATAATAAATATCAATATGTATTTTTAATATAAGTGACATTTAAAATGTATTAATTTATAAAATATTGTTTTTTTTTCTAATGTATATATTTTTTCTCTTATTTCAAGATCCATAAATTTTTTAATCTTATCTAAATGATTTAATTTGATTTTTTTATTTCACAATTATAAAAATAAATTTGATAAAAAAAAAAATATTTAAAAAAAAATGGTAGATAATCATATTTTGATTGAATTTTGATAATTATTTTATTAAATATTGGTATTAAGCAAACTTTTATTTTTCTTTATACTAGTATTATTTTATAATAATTTTAATACTAATTTTATTAAATTAAAAAAAAGAAAAAAAAAAAAAAGAAAAAAAAAAAACTATTTTCTTTTTTATTTTATAAAAATCCTAATAATAAAATAAATAATAATTATAACTAATAATAATAATAATAATAATAGTAATAAATAAAAACAATACTGAATAACAATAATTATTTTTTATTTTTATTTCATTAAAACTCATTTAAATATATTTTTGATCAAAAAATGTCGCAAGTTGAATTAGATCAGTTTCAAGATTTAGGTAAATTTAGGAAATAAAATATTTTTTTATTAACATAATTAATTTATTTATTAATTTATTTTTTTCATTTTTTTATTTTTATAATTAAAGAAAATAAAAATGAAGATCAATTTCTTCAAGAGCAAACCCCCAATCAGCAAACAACTTTTAATTTAAATGAATTAAATTCATTTTCACCACCAATTAATCCAGAAAGAGAAAATAATGATAGCGATTATCCATCATCATCAATAGCAAATAATAATAATAATGCTAATAATTTTAACAATACGAATAATTTTAATAATATACTAAATTTAAATATTTTAAATAATTACAACAATAGCACATCTAATAACAATAATAACAATAACAATAAGAACCTAGTAATGGATAGTAATGAATCATTAAATTCAGCATTACACCACTCGAATATTTCATCCTCAGCACCCTATAATGAATTCTCAACTAAAAATTCAGTAGATGAAATTGTTTTCTTTTCAAAGCCACCCTCATTACAATCATTAGCATTTAGAATCGTTTCATCATGGGTATTTGGTTTAGTAAATATGGTAATTTTAATGCTATTCAATCCTTCACATCCTATGCAATTTATTTGGGGTGTATTATGTATTGGTTGTTGTATGACTGCTATTTTTGCCATTAGTTGGAGTTCACTACTATTAAAGTTCCCAATTTCATTTCTTATAATTTTTGCAACTACAATCTACTGGGTGGGAACTCCAATAACATGGGAAATTCTATATGTTATCAACCTCTATCCACCACCCATCGGTGTATTTACCTGCATTTTCCCATTCGAAGGTTTATCATTGGTCCTAGTATGTCTTTTAATTCCAAGAGCAATCCGTAATAAAAATGGTTTTAGAAAGAAGGTTATTACTGCATTTTCATCTTTAGTCGCACCTTACTTAAGTTTTGTTAGTGGGCTTATTTATTTCAGACTTTTCCAATACTCTAACAATATAGGACGTATTCTTTTACCACCTGTCTATACCGTTGTAATGAAAATTATTCAAATAGGTCTCGATATTATTTGTATTCGTTGTGCTCACTCTGGTTCAAATTTACTCATTATCATTGGTCGTATTATCGCATCATACTATTCATTTGCAGTCTTATCTTTTGTAAGAAATCCAGTATCTTTGATATCAGTTATTCTTTCAAAGTTTGGTTTGCACATTTTTATGTCTATTTTCATGGTGTACCCCAGCATAGAAAATAAAATCATTTCACTCTTACCCAAATCAATTATAGATTGGAAAGTATCTTTCGAAAAAGGTAATTTAGATAAAGAGGCAGCTAGTTTTGAAAGCAACTTGGATCCACATAACGAATTCGACAGAATGGCTTTAGAAAATGACCCAGTTTATTTCAAAATTCACAGTAAAGGTACTAACCTTTGGTTTTCTCAGTTCTCAGATCTTTTAGCAATCCTCATGGCTCTCACCGTCTATACTATGGGTAGATATGGTCCAACAAGTGCTCACTATAATAATATGTTTCCATTTAACAACGATACTTCAAAAGTAATGGGTCTAAATGATCACTTCCACTTGTTTTTAATTTATCTTACAATTTGTTTTGTAGCTTTGATTATAATCTATTCAAGTATGTGGTTTGCTTTAAATAAAATCATCAAAACATTGGAGTTAAAGAAAATAGCTGCCCTTGTTAGTGTAAATTGGTTCCCATTAAATCACTTTTACGTATCATGTATCAACTTTATGATGGCTTATGTAATTGTCGTGGTAGCTCTTATGCCTGATTTGTTCTACATCCCTGGAATTGACTTTTGGAATACTTCAAATTAAAAACTTTATTTATATAATTCCATATTTGTTAGTGGAATAACATAAAAAAAAAAAAATTATAATAAATTAAAAAAAAAAATTAAAAATCAAAAAAAAAAAAAAAAAAAAAATCAAAAATTTTTTTTTTCACACTTTTCGAAATTGATTAAATATTTGCATTATTTTCAAAGTATGATCAATCATTTGTTCATATAACTGCGATGTAATTAAACGAAGAATAAATATTTCCTAAATAAAATATTTTGTTTTATATGTTGGTTATTCAAATAAAATTTTAAAATTACCCCCACTTTTTTTTAAACCCCACTTTTTTTAAAATAGATTTTGATTTAATTAAATAAGTGTTTTTAATGGATTATTTATTTAAATTAAATGTAAATAAAAGAGAACTTAGTTTCCAAAATAAAAAAAATAAAAAATAAAAAATTTTGTTTGCATATAAAATTTCATGAACAAATTATTATAATAATATGATCCAAAAAATGAACCAAATACGCAAATAGATATTTTAATACAGAAAAAAAAAAAAAAAAAAAAAAAATTATAAAAAAAAAAATAAATGGCACAAAGTTGGGTTTATTTCTTTTAAATAATTTTAAAAATAAAATAAAAAAAAAATTTTTAAAAATTTAAAAAAAAATTATAATAATTTTTTTCATAAAGAAAAAAAAAAATAACTATTTTTATTTTATAATTATACATTATACAATATCATATCTATTTATTTATTTATTTATTTATTTTTTCATATTACATTTTTTATTTAGCTATAAAAATAAATAAAAAATATATATAGTTTTTTTTTTTTTTTTAATAAAACGCACCAAAAAAAAATAAAAAAAACAAAAAATAAAAAATATTCATCAAAAAAAAATTATTAAAAATTAAATACCAACATCACAATTGTATATTATTTTTTAAAATTATAATTTAGAAATATATAGTTTTTAAATTATTGTACTTTTTATATATTCCTTTCAAAAAACTTATTTATATATTACACTAAATATTATTTAAATAATTTTTAGAAAAAAAACATTACAAAATGGTAAGATATCATTGATTTTTATTTTTTTTATTTTTTAATTTTTTATATTTTTTTAAAAAAGTATTCTAACAAAACTTTTATTTATTTAAACAACTATAGTCAAAAAAAGTTCAAGCAAAACAAGGTACAGATGATCTTGTTATGCTTCCAAAGATCTCTGAAGAAGAAATTTGTGAAAATTTAAAAAAAAGATATATGAATGATTTTATTTATGTAAGTTTTTAAATATTACAGCATAATAATATAAAAAATAATAGATAATAGTATGATACTATTAATAATAAAAATCATAATAGTTTTGTAATTATTAAATACTAATCAAAAATATTTTCTTTTTTTTTTTTCAATTTAGACAAATATTGGTCCAGTATTAATTTCAGTAAATCCATTTAGAAATTTAGGTAATTCAGGTCCAGATTATGTAGAAGCATATAGAGGTAAACATGCACAAGAAGTACCACCACATGTATATCAATTAGCAGAATCAGCATACAGAGCAATGAAAAATGATCAAGAGAATCAATGTGTTATTATTTCAGGTGAATCTGGTGCAGGTAAAACTGAAGCAGCAAAACTTATTATGGGTTATGTTAGTGCAGTTAGTGGTAGCACAGAAAAAGTCGAATATGTAAAACACGTTATTTTAGAATCTAATCCACTTTTAGAAGCATTTGGTAATGCAAAGACCCTTCGTAATAACAATAGTTCACGTTTCGGCAAATACTTTGAAATTCAATTCGATAAGGCTGGTGATCCAGTTGGTGGTAAAATTTACAACTATCTTTTAGAAAAGAGTCGTGTTGTCTATCAAAACAATGGTGAACGTAATTTCCATATTTTCTATCAATTATTAGCTGGTGCATCTGCTCAAGAAAAAAGAGATTATGTATTAAGTGGTCCAGAAAACTTTTACTATCTTAACCAATCAGAATGTTATTCAGTCGATGGTGTCAATGATGCAGCTGATTATGCTGAAGTTCGTAGTGCTATGGATACCATTGGTCTCACCAAAGAAGAACAAGATAGTGTCATTAGAATTGTTGCATGTGTTTTACACATTGGTAATATTTATTTCATTGAAGATGACAAGGGTAATGCTCAAGTTTATGACCCAAACGCTCTCGAATTAGCTGCTTCTATGTTATGTATTGATTCTGCCACACTTCAAAATGCTATTTTATTCCGTGTTATTAATACTGGTGGTGCCGGTGGTACATCAAATCGTCGTTCAACTTATAATGTCCCACAAAATGTAGAACAAGCCAATGGTACCAGAGATGCTCTTGCTAGAACCATTTACGATCGTTTATTCACTTGGTTGGTAGAAAGAGTAAATCAATCACTCAGCTACTACAAATCACCATTCCAAAATGTAATTGGTATTTTAGATATTTTCGGTTTTGAAATTTTCGAAAAGAACGGTTTCGAACAATTCTGTATCAATTTTGTCAATGAAAAACTTCAACAATTCTTTATCGAACTTACCTTAAAGGCTGAACAAGAAGAATACGTTCGTGAAGGTATCAAATGGGAACCAATTAAATATTTCAACAATCAAATTGTATGCGATCTCATTGAAGGTAAATCACCACCAGGTATTTTCAGTATTTTAGATGATATTTGTAGTACTCTCCATGCACAATCGACCGGTACTGATCAAAAGTTCTTAGAGAAAATGGCTGGTTTCTTTGATGGTCATCTCCATTGGAGAGGTATGACTGGTGCTTTTGCTATTAAACATTATGCTGGTGAAGTAACTTATGAAGCTGAAGGTTTCAGTGATAAGAATAAAGATACTCTCTTCTCTGATCTTATTGAAGCCGTCCAATGCAGTAAAATGCCTTTCTTAGTTTCATTATTTAGCGAAGATACTTCTGGTCTTCAAAAGAAAAGACCAACTACTGCTGGTTTCAAAATTAAAAACAGTGCAGCTGAATTAATGAAAGCTCTTGCTCAATGTACACCACATTATATTAGGTAAATATTAATATTTATTAATAATAAAATTAAAAATAAAAATATTAATAGTTTTTTTTTTTTTAGATGTATTAAACCAAATGAAACTAAAAAAGCTAAAGATTGGGAAGGTAGTAGAGTTAAACATCAAGTTCAATATTTAGGTCTTTTAGAAAATGTTAGAGTTCGTAGAGCTGGTTTTGCATATCGTGCTCCATTCGAACGTTTCCTTAGACGTTATAAAAAATTATCATCAAAAACATGGGGTCTTTGGGGTGAATGGAAAGGTGATGCTTTAGAGGGTGCCAAAACTATTCTTCAAGATTTAAATTTAGAACAAGGACAATGGCAAATGGGTAAAACTAAAGTTTTCATTCGTCATCCAGAAACTGTTTTCCACTTAGAAGAAATGTTAGACAAAAAAGATTTCGATTGTACTGCTCGTATTCAAAAAGCTTTCCGTAATTGGAAAGCCAAGAAACACTCATTAGAACAAAGAGCTCAAATCGCTCATATGTTTAAAGATAAAAAAGAAAGACAAAGAAATTCAATTGATAGAAAATTCACATCAGATTATATGGACTTTGATAATCAATTTGGTATTCATGAAGCCATGATGAATGCTCAAAAGAAAGAAAGAATAGTTTTCGCTGACACTGTTACTAAAATCGATCGTCGTGGTAAAACTAAACCTTATGAAATGGTTGTTACCGATCAATCTATCTATTTTATCGAAAAATCAATTAAAAAGAAGGTTTTGGTTCATACTTTAATCCGTCAAGTTTCAGTACGTGATATTAGAGGTGTCTCAATTTCAACTCTTTCAGATAATATTGTAGTATTCCATTTCCCAGAGTATGACCAAGTCGTCGAAAATGATAAAAAGACTGAACTCATTATCGTTCTTGTAGAATATTATAAAGCTCTTACAGGTAGTCAATTAAATGTTACTTTTTCAGATAGAATTAATTATACTTTGAAGAAAGGTGAACAAAAAGAAATTAGTTTCCAAAAGAATGAACAATGCCCAACTGCAGTCACCAAGAAAGGTGGTAAAGGTTTGGTTTGCACCATCGCTACTGGTTTACCAAGTTCAACTGATTCAACTCCAAAGAATTATAATCCAAATTCTATGACCTCTGCTGCTCGTCCACCAGCTAATGCTGGTAGAGGTCGTGGTGCTATGCCATCAGGTGCAGGTGCATCAAGATCATTACCATCACAACCACAACAACCACAACAACCACAACAACCACAACGTCAAATGCCACAACCAGGAGGTATGCCACAACCAGGAGGTGTTCCAGGTGGAAGAGGTGCTCCAATGGGTGGTCAAGCCCCACGTCAAATGCCAGTTCCACAACAACAACAAGCTCCACGTCAAATGCCAGTTCCACAACAACAACCACAACAACAACAAGCTCCACGTCAATTACCACAACCAGGCGGAATGCCACAACCAGGTGGTAGAGGTGCTCCAATGGGTGCTGGTAGAGGTGCTCCAGCCGGTGCTGGTGCAAGACCATTACCAACTGCAAAACCAGCTGCTCCAGCAAGACCACAATTAAAAGCCCTTTATGATTATGATGCTACATCTGGTGATGAATTATCATTTAAAGAAGGTGATATATTATTTGTAGTTCAAAAAGATCAAGGTGGTTGGAGTGAATGTGAATTAAGAGGTCGTAAAGGGTGGTGTCCTACCAGTTATACTGCACCAATGTAAGAGTGTAAAAAAAAAAAAGTATAAAATAATAGGTAGTTTTTAAAAAATAATAAAATAATTATTTATATAAATAATAACAAAAAAAAAATAATAAAATAAAATGTAAAAATAAATTAAATTTCTAAATTAAACATCTATTTTTTTAAAAAAATTTTTTTTTTATTTTTATAATTTTAATATAAATCAATCAACTGGCAATTCAATTGTAAAGTGTTTTTTTATTTTAATTTATTTTTTAAATAAATTTTTTTTTTTTTTCATTAACAGAAAAGTATTTTTTTTAAATTTTTTTTTTTATTTTTTTATTTTTATTTCACAACAAACAAATTTTTTATTTTGGTTTTTGTGTGACAAATAAAAAATGGAAGATAATGATAAATTATTTTTTAAAGTTTTTAGAAATACTGTAATCAGAAATAAAATATTTTCATATATAAAAACTGATTCTAATAATGGAACTATGAAATATAACACAATTATATCATTAGAGTGGATGGTCAAAAAGAACTTATATTCAATGATTATTGATAAAATTAAATCAAAACAGAATTTGTGGGTAACACATAAATCAGTCCAACAATTAATATCAAATAATGAACAATACATATTAGAGATACTTTTCAAAAGATACTTTATTCAAAAGAATCCAGATGATAATATGGTTGTAAATGGAATAAAAGAATGTAACCCAATTTTAGAAATGGATTTTATTTATGAATCGGTAGTGCTCGACTCTGTCCCAGTTTTAAAGCTTTTTTTAAAGCTAATTAGCGAAAATAATTTATTAAATCCATTGTTAAATAAATGGTATAAAGGCATAGTCTTTAAAAAAAAAAATAGTTTATTGGGAATAGCAATTGCTAATGGTAGCTTTCAAGTAGCAGAGTATTTATTAACAAACAATAAATTAAATTGGTACAATAAATCGGGAATTGCAGAAGAGTTAATTACTGTAATATGTCGAAAATACATCAATATGTCAGTAGGAAAAAATGAAGATAATCAACCAAGATACGAACCACCATTATTGCTCGATCGTTTTTCAATTATCCATACTACAGATTTTGAATCTGGTATTGAAACTGATATACAAAATGTTGATTTAAAATCCAAAATGGTTAATGAATTACGTGGGCTTTTAAAAGAACTCACAAGAAAATATTTAGTTTTAAAAAAAATTCCAAAATATCGCCGAGGATGGGAAAATTATCAAAAAGAAAAATTAAACATAGAGTTTTTATATAAATATTTTGAAAAAGTTTTCAGGTTTGTTGAAAAAAATTTAAATTTTAAATTAGAAAAATTGGTATATTATACTTCAATTTCCCCGCTCTTTAAAAACTGTTCAGGAATCAAAATAGTTAACTTTTGTTTATCAGTAATTTGTTTAAAAACTTGTAATACCAACCTGTTTGGCAAAGTTAATAGCTATTTTTTACCAGAAAAAGCACATCTGTTTTCAAACCCACTAGATATAGAATATTATGCTGATTATTTATTTTATAATAATAAACTAGAGCTATTTAATGAACATTTTTTAAAAAACTCACCTCATTCATTATTATTGGTTCAAAATTTTTACAATTTAACTTTTGTAAACTTTTCAATTCCTGCTTTTTATACACTTATGACATTCGGTAATACGGAAACATTCATAGTACCAAGAGAAGATTTTAAAAAAACATGCTTTACAGTTTATCCATCTATAAAAATATTGCAATTCTTTCAATTTATTTCAAGAATGGGAACTAATATTGCTATACCTTGGAAATCGATTTTTGAACATTTAATAAACAACTATCCCTATGATACAATCAATTTCTTAATTTCAAACTCGGATTTAATAAAAACCAATTTTGAAGAATGGTCCAATGGTAAAAGATCTGCACATCTATCAAGTATTTTCTGGAGCTCAAATTTAAAAACTGGGGTTCTAGATGAAAGGTTTATCGATTTGTTTTTAAAATACCACAAACCATCAATAAAAGACCATGAAAGACCACCTTATAATTTAAGCAAGGATTTAAAAATTAAATTGGTGAACTATTTGGTCAAATTAAAGCCATCAATTATTTTAAAAAATCAAAATCTATCAATAGATTTGTTAATTGTTAGTTTATTTAAACTTAAAAAGGAATATAGTTTACAAGAGATAATTGAAATATACATATCTTTAGATAAAAATGGAATCAAATCAATTTTAAGTAGCACCTTTACATCAGCTTTTTCAGTCATGAATACCCCATATAATTATTTTTATAATAGTGGCAATAGATCAATGGTAATCAATGATAATCTCAACGCTACATTGGAAAACCGCCTTTTTGAAGATTTTATTTTAGATGAAATATTTAAAGAAGATTCTAATAGTGGTTATAAAGACTTAATTTTAATTTTTAGAACAATTAATGGTATTTGCGATGATGAAGATGATGCACAATATTATCTTAAGTTTAGCAAGCACATAGATTTAATTAGATACCTCAGCTTTAACTTTTCATTGTTTTCTCAAACATCAGCAATTGGAAATAGTATAATAATACCAATTATTAACAGACTAATCAATCAAGTTAATATTTATGATAATCAAAAGGAGTCAGAGCTTGAAATTATTTCTTTTATTAACTCTTTATCATTCAAGTTGTTGCAAAAAAATATTATTGAATTTTTAGTATCATGTGTAAAAAAAAATTGTATGATTCTATTTAAATTCTTTTTAAATAAGTATTTTGCATCATTTGAAGAGTTAAGCGAATATTATCCTTTATTCAAAAAAGACTCAGATATTCAAAAAATAATAAAAGAATACAGAACAAAGATCTCCTATGGTAGAAATTGGGAAATTTCTAGAATATCAAATATGTTAGAAGGAAATAATCCCCCAGCACAATCCTTACTTTCCAAATTGTTTTATTATAAAGAATTTGATATCGCAATAAATTGGCTTTCAAGAAAACATCTATTACCTTTAAAACTATATAAGGAAAGAGTTTTTGGGAAATTATTTAAACATGTGCATGACATTGATAAATTTGAATATTTTTACAATGTATTGGGCTCTAAACTTCAACTGTTTTCTGTCGGATCAATTATTTTTTTAAAAAAATATCATCGTTTTGATATCATCAAACACTTTATTAAGAAATCAATTTTTAGACTGGATGATGATACTTACTACTTTTTAATAATGAATTGTAGTGGATTTCCAAACTCTATTAAAAATGAATTCTTAAAAGAAGAGAAAAGAAGAATAATTATTCTTGATAAAGTTGACAAACAACCAAAAAGAAAGAACTATTCAAATTATTTAAATTATTTAAAAAGCTTTTTAATTTTCAATGGAATTTCCAGTGCAGCATTTATATCGTTCTATTTTGCTTACAAGTATGAAATAGCAAGATACCTGCTCTGTGGATCAGTTGGCGGTTTAGTTTTAAAAAGATTATATTACTTTTCGTCTTTTAACCATTTATGGAAAATAATTTATTTTTTTGATTAAAGAAAAAAAAAAAATTAAATAAAATACCTTAATTAAAAAGGTTGTTGTAAAAATAAAATTAATAATAGTGATATAAATAATGATTATATAATTTATTCATTTTCATTAAATTTATTAAAATAATTAATAATTTAAATTTTTTTATTTTTTAAATTTTTTTTTTTATTTTACAAAAAAAGATCTTTTTTCTTTATTTGTTAACTAAATCTAAAACTAAAAAAATAAGGTAGTTAGATAATTTAAATAAAAAAAATAAAATAAAACTAAATCAAAGTTTTAATTTTGGAAAAATGTAACTTTATTATTTTCTTAATGTTCACCACTCTCACTAATTTATCACCAACACCAATTTCTTCAATATTTGCATACCACTTGCATATCAAAGATCTCTTCTTGGAATTTTTTACAAATCTATGGACCCCAATACACAATTAATACCACTTTCAATCATCTCTAAGAAAATAAATTTGATAGTATTAGTAATTGTACTAACACCACCAGATTTTATTATTCAACATTGATAGTTGATTATACCACGCTTTTTGTGGTGCAGATGAATTGTTTTCACCACCTGTCAATCGACCATGGATCTTTTCCATTTATTGATACCAAATAGTTTTTAGAGATGATAATGAAAGAAGTGTTAAATGTATGGAGTATCACAGACTTGCAAAAAAAATCCTCTTGGATATACAAGTGGTATATCAATACCCAAATCATTGAGCATTTCAAATATTTGAAGAAATAAGTGTTGGTGTATAATTTAAAAAAAAAAAAAAAATGAAAATAAATAAATAAAAGTTGCTAAACAAAAAAAAAATTAAAAAAATAAAAAAAATTTATATAAAGATAAAAATAATAATAAAATTAATATTAAAAAAAAAAAAAAATAAAAAAAAAATAAATAACTTTTTTTATAACTATTATTTATTTTTTTATTTATTTAATTATTTTTTATTTTATTTATTTAATTAAATATATAAATAAATTATATAATTTTTCTAAGCATATTATAGTGCCATATTTAAAAAGTTGCTTTTAATATCTATAAAATTTTTTTTTACAATAATTAAAATAAATTTGCTTCACCATTTTGTGTGAAAAATAAAAAATCAAGATAATTATCTTTTTTTAATATTTTGAGAAAAAAAAAAAATAAAATATGATTTTTTTTTTTTTAATATTGTGAT